ACACAAAATCATTAAGATGGCAATTCTCTCCAAATGAATCTATGGATTCAATGCAATCCCTATCAAAATTCCAGCTGCCTTTTTTGGACAAATTGTCAAGCTTATGCTAAAATTTATATGGAAATGCAAGTGACCCAGAGTAGCCAAAACAATCTTGAAAAAGAAGAACAAAGTTGGAAGACTCATAGTTCCTGATTTCCGAACATACTGCAAAGCCATAGTAATCAAGACAGTGTGTTGGGCCAGCCCAGTGGCACAGCAGTTAAGTGCGCACGTTCCGCTTCGGTGGCCCGGGGTTCACCGGTTCGGATCCCGGGTGTGGACATGGCACCGCATGGCAAGCCATGCTGTGGTAGGCGTCCCACATATAAAGTAGAGGAAGATGGTCATGGATGTTAGCTCAGGGCCAGTCTTCCTCAGCAAAAAGAGGAGGGTTGGCAGCAGATGTTAGCTCAGGGCTGATCTTCCTCAAAAAAGAAAAAAAAAAGACAGTGTGGTACTGGCATAGGATAGGCATATAAATCAAGGGAACAGAATTGAGAGTCCAGAAGTAAACTCTTGCATTATGATCAGCTAATTTTCAACAAAGGAGCAAAGATAATTCAATGGTTGAGGAAAGGATAGTCTTTTCAACAAATGATACTTGAACAACTGGATATCCACATGCAAAAAGATGAATTTAGACCCTTATCCCACATCGCAAAAATGAACTCAAAATGGATTTCAACCTGAATGTAAGAACTAAAACTATATAACTCTTAGAAGAAAACATGGGAGTAAATCTTCACGTGACATCAAAACACAGTTGATAAAATGGACTTCATTAAAATTAAAAAACTTTGCACATCAAATGACACTATTAAGAAAGTGAAAAGAGGGGCTGGCCCCGTGGCTGAGTGGTTAAGTTTGTGCGCTCCGCTGCAGGCGGCCCAGTGTTTCTTTGGTTCATATCCTGGGCGCAGACATGGCACTGCTCATCAAACCACGCTGAGGCAGCGTCCCACATGCTACAACTAGAAGGACCCATAATGAGGAATATACAGTTACGTACTGGGCGGCTTTGGGGAGAAAAAAGGAAAAAAATAAAATCTTAAAAAAAAAAGTGAAAAGAAAAACTACAGAGTTGGAGAGAATATTTGTAAATCACATTTGATAAAGGATTTGTATCCAGAATATATAAAGAACTCTTGCAACTCACTTATATGTACACAAATAACTAATTTTATAAATGGGCAAAATATTTCTATAGACATTTCACCAAGGAAGATATACAGATGACTAATAAGCAAGCACATGAAAAGAACATCATTAGTCATAAGGGAAATACAAGTCAAAACCAAAATGAGATACCACTTCACCCCCACTAAGATGGCTTTAATAAAAAGCCAATAATGAGTATTGGTAAGAATGTGGAGGAACCAGAACCTCATAGATTGCTTGTAGGAATGTAAAGTGGTACAGCCACTTTAGAAAACAGTTTGGCAGTTTCTTAAAATGTTAAACATAGAGTTACCATATGACCCACTAATTCTACTCCAAGATAACTGCCCAAGAGGAATGAACACATATGTCCACACTGAGACTTGTACATGAATGCTTATAGTAGTAGTATTCATAATAGCTCAACAAGGGAACCCATCCAAATATCTGTCAACTGGTCAATAATGGAACAAAATGTGACATACCTATACGATGGAATACAATTTGGTAACAAAGAGGAACATTGTACTAATATGTACTACAACACAGATGAACCTCCAAAAATTATGCTAATTTTAAAAAGCCAAATCAAAAGACCAGTTACTATATGATTCTGTTTATATGAAATGTCCACAATAGGCCGATCTATAGAGACAAAAGTAAATTAATGGTTGTCTGTGGCTGGGAGTAGAAACAGAGAGTGACTGCTAATGGGCACGAGGGATTTTTTTAGGGGGATGAAAATGTTCTAAAATTGGATTGTGTTGATGATTCCACAACTCTAAATTTACTAAAAATCACTTAATTGTACACTTAAAATGAGTGAATTTTATGATATGTAAACTATACCTCAATAAAGCTGTTGAAAAACCAAACCGTTAATTAACTAGAAATATAAAGAAACTCGTCAAAAGTATACCCTAAAACCTACAGCACATTTAAAAAGGGTAAAACTTTAGAAGTTTTCTCTATAAAATCAGGAAGGAAAACATGCCTGCTGTTACTACTTCTGTTCACCATTGTTTTGGGGTGGGGGGGTGGCAGCGTCCTAGTTGGTGCAGTAAAAGAAATAAATATATAAGGATTGGAAAGGAAAAAATTAAACTATATCATTCATAGATGGTATGATTGTCTAGATCAGGAGTTGGCAAATTGTTTCTATAAAGGACCGTGTAATAAATATTTTAGGTCTCGTGTGCTATGTGGTCTCTAAGCAGTCATGGACAATACAAGAATGAGTGTGGCTGTGTTCCAGCAAACTTTCTACACAAAAACAGGCAGTGATCCAGATTTGGCCCATAGGCCACAGTTTTTTGACCCCTGGTCTATAAAGAGAACCCTAGAAATTCTGCTGATAAATTATCAGAATTAAGAAGAGTTAAACCAAGATTGTTAGATATAAGATCAAAATGTAAAAATCAGTCTTGTTCCTATTCATCACAATAAACAACTTAAATTTTTTGAAGTATATAGTTTTTAGTAGTGTAGTTTAAAATTTAATTGGTACACAGGAATAAATTCCAACAGAAGATTTGTATAAACTTTATGGAGAAAATTGTAAAATGAGTTAAGTCATTGTAAGACCTAAATAACGTCTATGGATGAGAAGACTCCTTTAAAACTACAATAAGGAAATTTTAAAAATAAAGAATATAAACTCATAAAGATGGGGAAATAGGAGAGGAAGCAATAACAATAAAATTTAGAATCTAGAAAGCAGGTAGATGAGTAGTAACTGACTTAGCAACTTACTTAAACCATTGGATTTAGTAAGTGCAAGAAAGCTGAATCTAAGCTGGCAGTGGGGAAAAGTTAAGAACTTAAGACAATTTGTACAATATCCTCGAAAGACATAGGAACTGCGACTCTGGGTACTCTGAGGTCAAAGGGGTAGCTAAAGAAAGGATTCAAGCGAAAGATATTTAAGAACTTGTATTTCCTCCCTTAATCCATACTGTGAGTGATTGACTTCCTCCCATTTCAGCATAAGTTTCAAAATTTATTCTCTAAAGAAGGTAAAATAGGGAATCTCTCTATTGAGGATGCCAGATACAGTTGAAAGCCTGAGTACCTTACCAAAATCAGGGAGATTGCATGACTGTATGCACGCTGAATATTGCACTCAGAGATCCTCAGCCTTCTTCCAGTTGAGGAGCCAAAGATGCTGACATTAGGAGTCCCTTCACCCTGTATCGTGAAGCTCAGGCCTACCCCTCTTCTCAGAGTCCCAGGCGGCTTTTTCGTTCCCTACTCTTAATTACCAGCAGACAGCCAAAGATAATCAGACCTGTGAGAAGAGCTTCTAATATAAAGACCTACGCAACTGGGGAGATATTTTGGAAGAAGTAGACACTGTATAGGGAGAGGAAAACTTAAAATTTTAAAAAGTCTATCAGTATCCTCAGAGAGATGAGAAAAGACATTGTGTGCTTGAAGCATTGAATGCTGACTGAAGGATGCAGCGATCCTTCAGAGGAGAGAAATGGAGGGGACTTTTAACGTAGTGGCATTGCTCTACTTCTTAACACGGGTGAGGAGTCACAGGTGTTCGGTTTTCTTTCAATTCTACATTTTTTATTTATGTACTTTTCTGTAGGTATGATACAGTTCACAATTTTAAAAATAATTAACAAAGAAAGGAAATAAAAAGAGGAATAAAAAAACATAAGCAAGGAATAAAAATCTATTCAAAAGACCAGACAGATTTGAAAAAGAGCCACATAGAACTTAAAGAAGTAAAAAAATGCAATTACGGAAATTGAAAAAAAAATAGGAGAAGGTCAAGTAGCAGATTAGACACGGCTTAAAAAAACAGATTGGAAGATAGAAATTGAAAAATTACCCAGAGTGCAACATATGGAAATGAGGAGCTAGAAAACATGAAAGAGCAATTATCAGACAAGGATAGTCAAATGTGAATGTTTCAGACATCTATTTGGAGCTCCAAAAGAATAGAGAAAATAGTTGAGAAGCATTATTGGACTAATGACAGAAAATTTTCTGGAAAATGTGAATAACATGAATCTTAAAATTTAGAAAGTAAAATGAATCCCAATAAAGATAAATAGAAAGAAATCCAAATTTACGCATATCAAAGTGAAACTGCAGTACTGCAAAGACAAAGAGAAGACCAGACAGAAGGGGTAAAAAAAGATAAATTATCCAGGTAACAATTAGACTAATAGAAGACTTAGAAATAGCAACAGTGGAAGCCAGAGCTCAGTGGAATATTATCCTTAGTATTCAGAAGGAAGTAACTAGCAACCTAAAGTTATATGCTCAGCTAAACCTTTAATCAGAAGAGTGAAGTAGGGGCCACCCCGTGGCTGAGTGGTTAAGATCGTGCGCTCCGCTGCGGCGGCCCAGGGTTTTGTCAGTTCGGATCCTGGGCCTGGACATGGCACCGCTCGTCAAGCCATGCTGAGGTGGCGTCCCACATGCCACAACTAGAAGGACCCACAACTAAAAATGCACAACTATGTATTGGGGCGCTTTGGGGAGAAAAAGGAGAAATCTTTAAAAAAAAAAGAAGAGTGAAGCAAAGATTTTCAGAACTATAAAAAGTAAGAGAGTTTACCTCAACAAAGTCCTCCTTTTAAAAATATACTTCAGAAAGACAATAATCTAAAAGGGAAAGTTGGAGATGAAAGAAGGAATGGTGAGCAAAAAAAGATTGTTAATCATGTGTAAGCTAAGTATACATTGACTGTAAATTCTAGTTTGAAGGGCAAAAATCCGACTGTCACTGACTCCTTATCTTTATGATAACTCTAGGTTGTGTCGGTTTGATTCTTCTGCAGGTGTACAGAAGATGGGTGTCCGCATAAGAAGTTCTTTCACACACGTTTTCTCATGCGGATGAGATTAACACCAGATTGTTCCAAAATGTTGATCTCAACGTCCTCTGGATATCTCTTGATTCTGCATGATCTTGACTTAACCAAGTCTTTAGAAGTAGGCAGCTATCCCATTCTGAGAGCAAGAAGAACCACATCAAGTTCAGGTAAGCTTGTCTTTTTTGGTTAAAGAGTTTTCCAAAGAGTCTCAGACATAGGGATGTTACGTGTTTCCATTCTGATAATGATAGCAGGAAGATGGAAAGAAAATCAAAAGACATTCTTTGGAAGGCTCAGTGAGAGCTTTTTTCCGAAGGAAGTGTAAAGACCTATATGTATCTCTGACATAGCATTAATTTGTGCCTCTGTATCACAAATGATCTAGAAAGAATAAGTGCCAGCTCTAAAAATATTTTCTTTTAGCTCTCTGCTAGCCATAAAAATCTTTCAACAGTATTTCTAAATCACCACTATCTCAAAAATTAGTGATGGCCCCCCAAAAAATTAAATTAAATTTTTAAATAAAGGGGGCTGGGCCGGCCCGGTGGCGCAGCGGTTAAGTGCGTACATTCCGCTTCGGAGGCCCCGGTTTCGCTGGTTTGGATCCTGGGTGCGGACATGGCACCACTTGGCAAGCCATGCTGTGGTATGCGTCCCACATATAAAGTGGAGGAAGATGGGCATGGATGTTAGCTCAGGGCCAGTCTTCCTCAGCAAAAAGAGGAGGGTTGGGATTGTAACCTATCAATAACTCAATAAAAAAAAAAAAAAAAAAAAAGAGGAGGGTTGGCAGCAGATGTTAGCTCAGGGCTAATCTTCCTCAAAGAAAAAAAAACATTAGTGATGGCACAAGGTAATATCAATCGTTTTAAGTCCTTCTGGAACCTAGCGGAGCTTTTAAGTTATGGTCAATAGAGAGTTTTAATTTTAAGTCTATCTTGTATCCTGACTTCCAGGTGTCCAGACACAGGTAGCTGGTGCCATCTTGTCTCATGACCCTGAAATATCCTCTTGCTAAAGCCCTGTTCCTTCTCCTGCTGCTGATTCCCTTAGACTTAAGTGAAATTGGGGCTCAGAAAAACTTATGCACTATAATTCATCTACATTTTGTGATATTTCATCCACCTTTCAGAAAAAGAGGGCTGACCTGGGAACATACCCATTATTTATAATACTGTGTTTATGAAGCAGAATCCAGAAAAAAAGACTTAAGCATTTGGAACACATAATGTTCATAAATTGCTGTTAAAAGCCAGCTTCACATGGTTGGACGCTTTCTCCTGTGTGTGCACAGGGCTACTTCTGAAGACTCCTTTGGGAACAGTCAGGCCTCACTATACATGGTTGCCCAATTTCACTGCTAAAGTAGAAATTTAGGTTTTGTCAACTTACTTGCAGTGAAGGGATTTCATAAATATGCAAGTACAATCCTTTTAGATTCAGAGGTTTTTTTTAGGTTTAACATTAATAATCAACTTAAGCTTAGTGAGAAGTAGTGATTTAGAAGAGAAGGTCTAGTCAGAATTTTTTGACTCAAAAACCAAGATGATTTTCTGTCTTCTAGGGGTAATTCTGATGCTTAGTGACATCAAAGAGAATCAGATTAATAAGTCTCCACAGAAGTGTGGGGCCACTAGAAAAGTGTGATGATACAGAGTTTAGTATTTGGGGTAATACATCAAACTCAACTATCTGATATTCACTTTGTTTTATTTTGCCACAGATTTAATGTAAAGTATGTATTGCATTTCAAAGATAGTATTCACATAATTTCAAGAATACTAGTAGAAGTTTTTGCTGTGCTTTAAGAAGGATCTGTTCATGTTCTCAATAATGGGCATGTTGTTTGGACCCTATTCTAACATTTAACAACGGGCTGAACAGCTCAGTTTTCATTCTTACTAAATTTTCTTGTTTGATTTCATTACAGAAATGGAGAAACAAAGATGCTCCTTTGTTTGTTTAGTTTTTCATTTTTATTTCACTTAAGCAATTCATTGCTTAAAAAGTATAAAGGTATAAAAGGTTTTAGAAAGGGACTAGGCCTTAGATAAAACACTTCAAAGAGCTGTCCTGCCTACCTCAGTCTTAGTTATAGGCCAGTTTTTTTTTTTTTTTTTTTTGAGGAAGATTAGCCCTGAGCTAACATCTGCTGCCAATCCTCCTCTTTTTTGTGCTGAGGAAGACTGGCCCTGAGCTAACATCTGTGCCCATCTTCCTCTACTTTATTTGTGGGACGCCTACCACAGCATGGCTTGCCAAGTGGTGCCGTGTCCACACCCGGGATCCAAACCGGTGAAACCCGGGCCACCAAAGCAGAATGTGTGCACTTAACCGCTGCGCCACCAGGCCGGCCCCTATAGGCCAGTTTTAAGTAGACATGTACTTGCCATGTTTTACATGGATTTTAACATTATGGTTCAAGTAGATGATTAAAAAGTTGAGACACTACCAGAGTTTTGCTACATTTATTGTCAGAACTTTTTGTATTTTCAAGATCTGAGCACTTCATCAAGTTCATCTGGTCCTAGAGTTTCTGGTTCACCTTGTCATCATGGTGATTCTAATTCATCTTCTGAGAAACATATGTCACGAGCCTCCCAAAGAGAAGGTAGGTTAAAATTTGGATTTTATAATCTTACAATAGATTCTACCAAATAGCTTTCTTTAGTTTGGTTTTAATCCATAAAAATAAAAGCCAGTAAAGATGAGGCTATTCCTTGCTGCTCAGTCATCATTTTCAAAGTGCTAACCAGAGTCTGTAGGGTTGAATATCTTGGATTTAAATCTTTGTTGGAATTTGAGCTTCGGTTTTATTTCCTGGGCTTAGTTTAGTCTAGTTTGGAGAGGCAGTCATGTGCTGTATATGTTGTTTCAGTCAACTATGGACTGCGTGTAGGACGGTGGTCCCATTAGATTACTACCCTGTGGCCTAGGTGCATAGTAGGCTATACCACCTAGGTTTGTGTGAGTGCACTCTATGATGTTCGCATAATGACAAAATTGCCTAATGACGTATTTCTCAGAACGTATCCCCATCGTTAAGCGACGTATGACTGTAGTTGGGAAATGTAGATTCCAATCAAAGCTGCTGTGGAAATTAAATGAGATTATGCATGTGACAGTGCTGTATACACACAAGGGGATGAGTTTATCAGGGGCTTGTGAAAATCGCCTGGTTCCAGCCCAGGAGGCTTTTTGCTCTGCCATTTCCTTATCTGAGCAATACCTGACAGCCTCAGACAGGTTGTGGGATAAAGTGAGCTACAATCTAGCCTCACTCTGCTTTTGCCAGTTTTCCCCCAGCCAGTCTGGCAGAACTAGCTGCTTAGCCCATTCCTTCCACCCTCAAATTCAATGCTTTCTGCCTGTGCACATTTCACCTACCATCCCTCTCCGTACTAATCCACATCTAAGCTCTTAAACTGCACTTTTTGTTTGTCATCCTCTTTGTGGACTGATGGCCACATAGTTTTTTTTGTATTTTGGGTCAGCTTTTGGAGATAAGCATGTCTCCTACCTACATATTTAGGGGAGGGTCTATACATCAAACTTCTAATATGTTTTCCCTGGGTGACCTCACCTGATCGGTGCTCAGTAAATGCATACTTGATTATTTTGCATGACTACTTATGTGAGTAGGATGGTTTGAGAGCCCTTCCTAACCTAACCTAACCTATAGCCTATTCGCTCTCCTCTGGATGTTGAAGACTGTGATGTTTCACTTAAGGTTAAAAACTCCTCCTCTTAGAACTGATCGGTGGTTGCCAGGGGAAAGGGGGGTGGGGGGAGGGCACTGGCACTAGGGGTGAAGTGGTGTAACTACAACATGACTAATAATAATGTACAACTGTAATTTCACAAGGATGTTAACTTTTATAACCTTAATAAAAAAAAAAAACCAACAAAAACTCCTCCTCTTAAATTGAGAGACGCATGTCGAGATGTGTGACAGTTCTCCTTTGATTTGTAGCAGAAACTTCTTTTACAGATTCTACCTGTTCTTCTCCTTCTACTTTGGCCATGGGAAACGAGCCAAGGCTCTTAACAATCATTAAGAAAGATCTTTATTGATTAACTAAACCATCCATGAGAAAAAGAAACTTAATTTAAGAAGAATAGTTAACATGCTTGCCTGCTGCAGTGGTAAACCCAAAACCAGTTTCATGCTCTAGAGAGTTGGGAAGGGGAGAAGAGACGATGTATGGGGAACCTGGGCAGAGAGAGGTAGAGAATTAGGGAGTGGAAAGAGAGAACGAGGCGGGACTTACAGGTAAGATTGCTCTGAATGTTGGGAATCCTGGGTCTTCAGGTGTCAGAATATGTTAGCACCGTACTTTGGCAGATATAATAACTATATAGAGCGGAGGCTTTCAAACTCTTTTCAGGATTAGAACTCTGTTTTTGACATGAAATCTGCTGTGGATTCTTAGGGATGTAGCACAAGAAAAGTGGAGTAGCACCCACCCTGGTGGCCTAGTGGTTAAATTTGGCGCTCCGCTTCAGCGGCCCAGGTTCCATTCCCAGGCGCGGTCCTACACCACTTGTCTGTCAGTGGCCATGCTGTCGTGGCAGCTCACATACAGAAAGAGGAAGATTGGCCATAGATGTTGGCTCAGGGCAAATCTTCCTCAGCACACACACACAAAAAGTGGAGTAACTCTGTTTCAAGTGAAATTAGGAAGGCCCTTGACCCTCCACTCTTCCCCACTCCATCTCTACCCTGGACCTCATGTGGTTCCCCCGTTTTGCCAGCTCTTAAGGAACTTCCAAGGAGCACAGCTCAAAAACCACTACTTACCTATTTAGAATGGGTTTGTTTTCTGCTTTTGTTATACACTTTCAAAATTAATTCTTGAAATAGGGGTTTGTTTTTCTCTAAAATTGTCATTAAAGTTCAATCACATGTGAAATCATTATTTAGGTATAGTGTGGTTGTAATAATATAATTTAGCTTCACAGGTTTCCATCAATGCTGTAGTAATGTAAAGGGAATCTTTTAAAAGAAGATAACACGAGTACTTGAGAAATCATTCACAGAGGGTCTGACAGACAGTTCATTATCTTCACAGCAGCTCCTTCCACAGGCAGAAAAGTGTTGAAATATTTCTCTTGATATTAAATTTCTAAGCTGCTTCCTTGTAACTTCTATGAAAGCGGTTCTTCACATACCTGAGGGGTATGACATACTCCTGTGAGTGACAGTGGCTTACTAAAGCAGTCACTTTCATTGGGGGCTAGGTAGGAGGAAATGATGGGCCATAGCTGAGTACCAGGAATATGTATCTTTGGCAGTTTCTCCCACCACTTATTTTGACATGTCTCTATGTGAGGTCTCCTCCCTTACTTCCAAAATTATAGGTCTATTTTTGTTTATAGTGCTGTCCTTAGGGGCCATAAGTTCTGCTCCTTTTACACATAATAGCCTTTTATTTATATACAGGCAAGCTTCAGGGCTTCCAAGTATTTCCTTCTCTGGACTAGAGAGCACCAGGTCCTCTGGGATGAGAATCATTATCTTTACTTTTCCAGATCCTTTTCATGTCACATAACTTTGATTCTTACTTAAAGAGCTTTCTGAGCTGTAGATCCAAATGAAAAGGACCCCTAATCAGCTTGAATGCCTTAGCCTTAGGTCTTCAGTGATTCCTGCTGCAGGAAGTTGGATTCTTTAGTTCTAGCCATACCCTCCCCCATACCCCACCCCAAAGACACACTCACATCCCAAACACTTAGGGACACCATGTTAGTCTACATGTGGTAGCATAAGGGGCAGACGAAGGAATGAAAGCATGGGGGATGGCTGCCAGAAATGAGCGCTTTGGTGAGCTGCCTTAGTCCTTTGGTAATACAAATCCCATGTCCAGTTTTTTTGTATCTCAGGAGTTGCACCACGAAATAGTCTTGAAGTCTTAACCCCCGAAGTTCCTGGTGAGAGAGACCGTGGAAACTGCATCACATCCTTACAGCTGCACCCCAAAGGCTGGGCCACTCTTCTTCGGTGCTCAAGCAACACTGACGATCAGGAGGTATGGGCAGCAGCACTCTACCTTCAGCAGCGCCGGTGGAACAAATTGCCCTCGCCCTGTGTGCTCAGGGGATCTTCATCCCTTGAAAACCCTTCTTCCTCCTCTCCGGCCTGGCTATGGCAAGCTGGGCAGTACTGTAAGGCAATCAGCAGCTCAGATTGTGCCCATCTTCTTAATTCTTGCCTCCTTCATCTCATTGTAAAAAACACCCTTATCTGGTAAACATAGGACTGAGATGTTTCAGCTAAGCTGGCTAAATGTGAGGTTTTGCTAAGGCAATTGAGTATTATAATTTTCTCTTTTTAAAAACTAGGGCAAATTTTGGGAAAGGACTAAACTGATGACTAGGGGAAAAGGCCTTCTATGACCTTGTGATTCTCATCGCTCTGGAAAGCAGGAGTCCTCCAAGGATCTCATTATCTCTAGAAGCCACAACTGAAAGAAAGAGAGAAGAGCCTTTGAAGTGTGTAGGAGGAGAGGTATTCTAGGGCTTGGGTGTCTGAGCCCTGGAATTTTTTAAATATCAAGATTGTTGCTACTCTCAGAAAAGGGAATTATTACTACAGAAATCACAGCAGCCTCAGGGAGTAAAAAGCTCAAAGTGTCACAGCACAGAACAACCTTAGCTTATGAAGATAAGAAGGGATGGGTCCGACGAATTTTGTTAGTTGGGAGGGAGGTCGCATTCATCTGCGTGATTTCTTGCAACAATTCTGTGGCTTTGGCATTCTGTTGAGCTTTTTTAAAAATCTCAATATTTTAAAAAATATGTGTAGCACTATTTGGGGCTCTCTAACTTTGGTTTGTGTCTCTTCTCTCCCCTTAGTGGACTTGTGTCTATGAATTCCAAGAAGGAGCTCCTGTGCGACCTGTCTCCCCTCGCTGTTCTCTACGACTGACTCATTACATTGAAGAAGCCAATGTAGGCAGGGGTTATATCAAAGAACTTTGCTTCAGCCCTGATGGGCGAATGATTTCTTCCCCACATGGCTACGGGATTCGCTTGTTGGGATTTGACAAACAGTGCAGTGAACTTATTGACTGTCTGCCCAAAGAAGCCAGTCCCCTGCGGGTGGTCCGCTCTTTGTACTCGCACAACGATGTGGTACTGACCACCAAGTTCTCTCCAACACATTGCCAGATTGCCTCAGGGTGCCTTAGTGGGCGGGTTTCTTTGTATCAGCCAAAGTTTTAGGCACAATTTACATCAAATAAGGAACTCTTCTGGTGTTTAACTTACAAATTACTTCAATTTACGTGAAGTATTTTCTTTTTAGAAGATCTTAAAAGTTTGGATGAAGATCCTGGTTCTTATGGGTCCATGAAGACATCTGTGACCTGAGTCCTTGATCCTCCAGCGTCATAGGGGCAGCGCCAAGTTAGACTCTATGCAGCAGCATCTTTTGCAGCATTCCTCTCCTCCTGCTGATCTGCGCCACTCAACTCCAGTTCTTCTGGGTATTTTGCATGGTCGCTCTTGTCAAGTTTCTTTTTTTAAAAAATTTTTCTGATGTTGGTGTGAATTTTGTGGACATTTGGCAGTTTGATTGGGGTAGGAGAAACCCGTGACACTAGTATTGAATAAAACCCAGAAATCTGATGTTGGCATACTGGATGTTGAAAAAGAAATTTCATCTTCACTTATCGGTATACTTGGCCTTTTAAAGTTGCTGTTATGTTTCTCTATAATGAGCACAGATAATGGCATTATTATCATAACTGTTAGATAGTCTTGCAACAAAATGTCTTTTAAGTTTCCTGTTAAAATTATACATATTTTTTCACCATGAGAGGGATCTTGTTGTGAAATTCTAGAAAAAGTATTCACTTCTCTTTGTAATTTACTTGTATGAATTTAAAAATCTCTAGCATGTGTCCTTACTTGGTGTTTTGTTCCTGTCAACGGCATTAGAAAGGAAAAGAGAAGGAATGGGCTTTGGTCATTTCCATTGTATAGAAGAGGATTTATTTAGTAGATGTGTACACTATCTGGCTACAGAGTGATGAGAACAGTGTGGCTCAGATTTTCTGTTTTCTCTGCCAGATTATTTGAATCAGACATGATGACGAGTTAGAGTATTAGGGTGGAGGGGAATCAAGAATAAAGAGGTCGTTTTACTCATCTTTCTTTCTTAGCCAAGTGGCACAAGCTCACTCTCTCACCGCTAGTGAGAGGAGAGCTGCAGGCCTCTTCAAGCTGTTGTCATAACGATGATGTCAGTGACTTGCATGTCAAGGCTACGAGCTGATATGGAGACCTTTCTCCGTGTTTTGTTATGGAACACAGCAAGTAAAAAACATCGGGCAAAGGTCCAGCACGGGCTGGCTGCTCTGCTGAAGCAGCTTTTTTCTGGTCTCCTCTGCACTGCATGGTGTATTGTGTTTAGAAAGGATTTGCCAGAGGCTAGATTAATTTAAAGCACTAGCTAGTTTTTCCCTCTTAGATCACATTCTCTTAGGCCAGTTTCTCAAACATTAGGGTGAAAAATACAGAAACCTGGCCCTCACCTTAGGAGGTTCTCACTGAGCCAAGGAAAGGACAAGAAGCTATAATTTTAACAGGAACCCCAAGAAATCTTTATTCAGGTGGTCCCTGGATCACAGTTTGAGAAACACTACCTTAAATATCAGTAAATACTTCTGTACCCATCAGGTGCTTAACATAACTCCCAGAAGGTGTTTTGATTATTAAAAAAATAATAATAAGTAAATGAAAGCAATTTAAGAGGTAGAAAATAACTTAAAATGGAATCAATCTCATTATTTGATGAATGAGAGAAATTAAGTGACTTGCCTAAGGTCATCCTGCAAAAATTAGTGGCAAAATTAGGACTTGAATTCAAGTCTCCTAATTCCTTGCTCAGGGCAATTTCTACTGTAGTATGCTGGCTGTTAAAACAATGACTTTGTCCTTAAATTGTTTTATTGTGAATACCCTTAAACTAGCCAATGGATTGAAAAAGGAAGGCCTGGGAGTAGATGCTGAGAATTGCAGCCATAAGAAGAAGAGTATTTTACATCTTACAGAAATGTTTAAGCAACCCAAATATGTGAATAAAAATGACATTTCTTTGTAGGACCTACCACCCAGCCGTTGACACACATGTATAGAGGTTACATCTCACTTGGAACAGTGTTGGCTCTAGGAGAAATTTTTTAAATTATGTCATTTTACCATCGATATTAAAAAAATTGGAAATTTTTCTGTCATCAAAAATATTACCACAAAGCATGGTGAAATCACAGGTTTGCCATAAACTTTTTTAAAAAACACTTATTTAAAAGAAAATAAAATTTTGGAGGCAAAACCACCCAATGTTGACATTAAAAATAAGCTACTAAGTACAATGATTATATTGATAATCAAAAGAAGGTTCCATGAATTGCATCCCCTTTGGAGAGAGAGTTCCATGTCAGCTGTGGGCCCACGTGTTGCCCAGCGCTGAATTTCAGTCCATTGTTCTTTAACCACTATCATGTGCCTGTCATGTGCCAGATAAAGTACACACCTTGCTACTAACCCTCATAAAAACCTTGCAAGGTAGGGGGCATGAGTACCAGTTTACTTTGGAGGAAATGGGGGGTTAGAAAGTTTAAGTGATTTGCCTTAAGACACAGAGCTGGCATGGGTGGCAGCATGGGGATTCAAACCCACGTCTGTTGTAGTCCAAAGTCTGTGCTCACTACTCTACCACTTTGTTCTTTAGTTTGTAAAGGATGGTAAACTGGCATGTTAATTTACTTGTTTAGAATCCTCTGGAAGTTCTTTATTACAGAATTGGCTTATCTTCTGCATCATGTAAAAGAACATTTACAAGATGGACAATTTCCGTTAGAATTAATACCATAAACTGCAGGGCATACATACAGTCCATTCCTAACAAAAAAACCCCAAGCAGGATAAGCAGCTATAAAATAAAGAAAAATGGAGAATAAACAGCCTTGTATAAAAATAGAGCCACGCAGATAAGAATTAAAAATTAACAGCCAGCAAACTCAACAAAACAACCTTTGTCTTCTTTGAGGTATGGTCATGATAAAAAGTCATCAGGGACATTAATCAAAGAATCAAAGGGCATCAGGAATGCTATACTATTGGAGGAAATTACATCTTACCATTTCATAGTCCCATTTCACTTAGAATATAAATTCTAAACTGGTGTTTTTTACCCTAAATTTTATTTAGTCATTTTTTTCCTGATAATTGGTAAATATATCATAATTGGTAATGTGGTATAATTGTTGGTAAATGTATAAATTATACCTCTGTTTTAAAAAGCTTTCTGCAGAACAGTATATTTATGGCAATGCTGTTGAATGAGTTCAGGAATATGAAATACACAGCAGTTCCTTATTTTCAACTGTGAAAATGAAGTGGCTAAAGCAGAAGAGATCTCTATTTTAATCTTTTGAAAACATGTGTGGTCTGTCTTCTCGAAGCCCAAAGAACATGTATATTTTGTTATTTCTCCTTGTTACATCCCTGAGGTTATACCAAAAATTTTAGGAAAACAAGCAAGAAAAAGGTAAATTACATGTTCCCCGCTCCTCTGTCTAGAACCAGGATCACATTATATCATTGTTAAAGTTTTGTTTTCCAGAAAGTGCAATATAGGAAAAACAATCTGAGAGTCTTTTAGCAGCCTAGTGTTTCTGCTGTTAGTCAGCATGTATGGCACTGGCATCCGTAGGTCTCTGTTCAGTTTGTGTTTAGCGGGAGAAATAGTCTGATAGGCTGATAACCGACTGATGACAATCATCCCCAGTTACTGACCAGCAGTCACTGAGAACCATGAAAATTCACTCAGTGACACCCTGCGTTGCTCATGAAGGAAAGCAGAGAAATGAATTTTGGGGTAGCTAGTGCATATCTCTTAAGTGCCAAAATTTGAAACTTGTGATTATTTTTGATGCGCGTCTTTCAGATGTGTTAGTATACCTCCCTGCCTTCTTAAACAGCATGCTCAGTATAATTCACTTTTTCATGATGAAAAGGATTCATGTGTTATTACAGAAAGTATTCATGTATTGTTACAAATGCCCATTGAGCTCTGATGTCTGTAAAATACTTCATAAAATGTAAAGGGCTATAACAAATATGAGTTAGTCTCACTTATTATAAAGTGATTCCCTCAGCCCTGAGGTAGGTAGAATCATTTGCCTCAGATTACTGGCATTTCGTTTAATTTAAAAATTTTTATATCTGCTAAGTAGTTTGTTCTGTCTCCTACCACCCTGTCAATATGCCTGCCTCTAACAGGCTCCGCTTCCTTCTGCTGTGCTGTGTTCCTCTGTTAGGAGCTGGGGCACGAGACAGCCGAGCTGCTCAGTGTGCACAGAGCTGGACGAGCTCCCACGCACAGGCTTTGAGCCAGCTCTCCTGGTTGCCTACCACCTTTCTGACAGGTTCACAATAACCGTCTGGATAATAGAAGTTCCCAGTTAAAGCCTAGGCTAGTGATTTTCTCCGTTGCCACTAAGTAAAATACGACAAACTAATGATGCTGCTGGGTTAAGTAATAAACAGCAATCTACCAAAGTGTGCAAAGCAACAGCACAGGCTCTGTATTTGCACGGGCTCTTTCATGCTTTCAAGAAAAAAGAAGAGTGCAGGGGGAAAAAAACCAGTGACAATAAACTCCAGATGGACTTAGTATTTTTGATACCATTAAACTTTGTCAATAACCATTAAATATATCCTTAAATTATCACACGTTGTTGCAAATGAAAATTCTCAAAAGCAAAGTCTCAAATTGACCTGTATGCTGCTCACTTTAGCTGTAAATGAACCAGTGATAGAAATGTGTTTTACCAAAAGCTCCAAGGAACCCTCTTACATACACACACCTCCTGTATGTATGTGTATATAAATGTCACTATAAATGAAAATGTCACCCAGAGATAATAAAATAATTTTTAAAATTTAAATCTGGTCCAAAGTATTTAAAATAGAATTTTCAGCTTTCCTTCTTCCTCATTTAGCTTTCATGTTTTTTACATTAAAGGTTGAATCTATGAATTTTCTTTTAAATTTCACTGCATCGACCATTTCCAAATTGTGCTCTCTGGTAATTTTAGATTCACATTTTCAGGAAATATGGAGTGTTCCAGATAATATACTAGACACTAGAACGTTTTCTCACTAGGTTCCAGGTGCTAAGTTCTCAGGGTAGACTCGCAGCTCCGTGAGGGCAGGGGACGTCTTACTCCCAGGGCCAGTGCAGGAGGGGACAGAGTCGTCATTCAGTGAATATTTGTTAAATGAATCAAATGAACATCACCATGTGGCTCCACGTTCCCAGGAAGCTAGAATGTGCTGTGCAAATTATTCAGTACTAGCGGAATCCATCATTTATTATTACAATGAACAGACTGTATTCATCAGAGTAAGATTTTTTCCTGACCATAATGTCAGAAAAACTAAGCATTTCTCATTGATTTGGAAAACTGCAAGACTCAGGTTTTCCTTCAGCAGACACCTGACTCCCTGCCGTCTGCCTGGTTCAGTGCTAGGGGCTCCAGGGACAAAGACGACTGCGGTGTTGGTCTTCCGGAGCTGCGGCTGAAATAGCCTCAGGCAGGGCTGGCTCCATGGGGCGCGACCTGTGCAGTGAGAGAGCGGCCTGCACCGAGAAGGGCCGCAGGCTGGGTTTAATGCTCTGCTGGAGCAGTCTTGAAAGTCTTCATTTTTGGAACAAGAGGCTCACAATTGTATTTTGCACTTGGCTCACAAATTATGTAACTGGTCCTGCTTGAATAGCACTCTTTTGACATGGCGGAAATCAGCACTATAATATCTTCTATCTACCTTGTAGTAAAGATGTTCACATTCACTGAAAACTAGCTATAAAGTGAAAGATTTAGCAAAAGAACTTCTAAAATCTGAAACTAAAACTACCTCCCTCCCACAACTTTTTAACAAATAGATGTTCTTCATTTCAGAATTAGAAAAGCTTTCTAAAAATGAAATGGGCTTTTACCTTTTCAGCTGAATTGTTTTGAGTTTTTCAGATGGGTGAATGTAGAGCTGTAGGTGAATTTATTTTATCTACGTACATACCTACATACAATTTTAAGGTTTTAATACACATTTTATTAACACGTGCACTATTTTGGTATAAGTCTACCTCATAATGTGCTTTTAGAAAAATAACTGCTACTTTGAAACATGTGACACACTTTTTGTGTGTGGTTAACCTGTTTAAAAGGTTGATGGCAAACTTGCATTTAGGAGCAGTTCGAAAATTTGTGTTCAAATTGCTTCGGTGTTCATTTCTAGACCAGAATCCAGCCTAAGGCTGGGGCAGAGGCAGGGGCTCGGTGGTTCGTGTCAGTGATAGTCTAAACTTTTCTGATCATGTAACCCCTATCAGAAAAAGTTAGAGAATACACCCCAAGTTTTGATTATTTTAAATTATATATATATACTATACTAATTTATTATGTACATTATAAAACAGGTACAGAGAAAAGGAAATTTTAAAAGGATAAGATTTGAAAACAATCACAGTCCTACATGACCTCCGGCACTCCCAGGGGTCCCCTTGTGCTCCCACCGGGATGTGCACGCTTCATTGTGTCAAGGCCACTATTCTAAAGCACAGAATTGGCATTTTACACTGAAAACACATTTACTAAGATCCAGTCCACATCCATCCACTAACGTTCTGGCCGTTTACAAGTTTGTTGGATGTGAATCATGTTTTGTAGAGTTGTATAAATTAGTTCTTTATTCAGTGAAAATTGCACTCATATCAATAGGAAGCATAGTTGATAAATTTTTACTTTTGTTGTTGAGCTGTACACAGTGATTGGTTCTTGAATAGATAAACTCGGGACACGCCGTTTTTCAGGGTTCCTTAGAATGACATTTTCCTGTTGTATTATTTAACAGTGTGATTGGTCATTCATTTTACTGCACTATGTTAATTCACCAGGAAAATAACAGTCATATTTGGGACACTCTTTTTTTGGGGTAAGTCACTGAAGAGAAAAATAGAGGGAATCCCTTTCAATTCTGATTATTTTGTGAAATTAATCATTTAGTTAAACATAATACTAATTATCACCATTTCAGTTACTTCTATGACCGATATATTTTGGGCTATTTAAAAAGTTTTTTATTTTAAAGGAAACAATTATTTGGCTTGCAATACTACTAATGAATTAACGATTTATATTAGTTTCCTATTAGTGATGTAACAAATTACCACAAACTTAGTGGCTAAAACAACACAAATTTCCGTCCACTGTTTTCCTCCAGGCCCTTCCCTTCCGGCAAGGGACGTGAAAAGTGCTGCTCAAATTCTGCCATTAGAATCACCTGGAGGGGTTGTGAACAGATTGCTGGGTCCACCTCCAGAGTTTCTGATTTCTAGGTCTGGGGTGGGAGACCCCATTTTGCATTTCTAACGTTTCCAGCTGATGCTGTAGGTCTGGGGACCACAGTTTGAGAACAAGAGATGCAGAAAATGCAGTTAGGGTTTAGATTTTTTGGATGACAGATCCCATGAATCTCTCCGTAGATAAAGGAAGCCAGTTCAGAGAACATCTTCACTTCGGAGACTGGTCTAGATGGACGACAGTGCGTCCTCAGCACTGCCATTCTCACTACCTTGTCCAGTTGGCACTCCTCCAGCAAGAGCTGACTTCCCTAATTTAACAGGACATTTAAGTTACTGAGCAGTTAATGAAGTCAGGTCATCTTACCTTCTCAGGAGCAGACCTGGTGCCGTGTGGCTTCCAACTCAAGAAGAGGCGGCTGCTCCAGCAGTGCACACTCTGGGGAGTGAGCGTCAACACTGCACCTGTCGCTCACAATCAATCCAGAAAGGGAGCAACTGAAACTTTAACCAGGGCAGACACAACTCAGAACATCTTTTTAACCTTTTTCTGGGAAATAGCTGTTTCCATCGAGAGCCATTTAAATTATGGGTACATTCGACTTCTGCGTGGATGTTAACTTGCAAAAGCCCTTCACTATAAAAGATGAGTTTTTGTCTGGGTGAAATGAAGGATCCAAATTTCATTGTGAAAGGATTACTTTTTAAAAGTTAAATACAAAGTATCAGATCTGTTCTGAATACATTCTATTTATTCTTAAGCAGTTATTACCTACATAGTTTGTGTGTGTGTACTTAATAAATGTATTTAATTAAAAGAAGGATTTCCTGGCATTTATTGAAAATTGCAGTGTATTGGTAGGAAAATCAATGCTCCCTACCCTGGTCCCTTCGTGGGATGGGTAGCCCCCTCACCTCTGGGGCAGTCTTAAGAAAAAATAAGTTGATTAGCCCCTATTTTACCCACCAGCCCTGTCACAGTCTGTGGGGGGTATTCTGGGCCTGAGCAAGGGAGGAGGTGGCTGCCATATCATGATGTTTAGTGGGAAGATGAGTGAACTACCAGGCCATCGGCTGGGGGTCCCCTCTAACGAGTATTTCGGCAGTATCCTCCGACTTCGTGGCAGGAGAAGGATAACGATCATAGGCAGGATAAAAGAACGACACTGAGTTTCCCTATATATTGCTGACAGCAAATATTGTGATAACTCCCCTAATGATTTTTCTCAATATTTTATTATGAAAATGTTCAAATATACAGCAAAGTTGAAATAATTTCACAGTGAACATCTGTTGACCAAGATTCTACCATTAACATTTTGCTATGCTTATCATTTATCTGATACTCTGTCCATCAATCCATCTTCCCTTTTTTTGGTGAGGAAGATTTCCTCTGAGCTAACATCTGCTGCCAATCTTCCTCTTTTTTGCTTGAGGAAGATGAGCCCTGAGCTAACATCTGTGCTAGTTTTCCTCTATCTTGTACGTGGGTCACCACCACAACACGCCTTGACGAGTGGTGCAGGTCTGTGCCCAGGATCTGAACCTGCAAACCCAGGCCACTGAAGCAGAGTGCACTGGACTTCACCACCACGCCATCAGGCCAGCCCCCAATCCGTCTTAATTTTTGACGTATTTTGAATGAATTGAGATATCTGTACCCATCCTTCTAAAATGCCTCAGCAATACATATCACTAGTGGAATTCAGTATTTTTTTGTTGTAAAATTTCCATACAATGAAGTGCACAAATATTAACAGTGTGTTTGCTAAGGTTAGACAAATGTATACAATTGTGTAACCCACACCCCTATCAAGATACAGGTTACTGTCATCACCCCAGAAAGTTCCCTCATGCCCCTTCCCAGTCTCTTCCTCTCCCTCCCAGATGCAGCCACTGTGTTTTTCCCACCATAGATCCGTGTCTTCTGGAACCTCACGTAAATGGAAGCGTACGTTCTGTATCCCCCATGGTGACTGATAAAGACAAATTCCTAAGAAATTCTAAGTGTCTCTGAAACAGGGAGAATAATAGTGATAAAGACACCATCTGGGATCAGATTGATTCATTCATTGAATAGGTATTTATTATGAGAACCTCTAGTCTGTGGACACAAAGGTCAGAAAGACAGCCCCTGCCCTCAGGGAGCTCACAGCACCTTGAAGGATGCCGCACAGACGCAGAGGGAGCGCCAGGCGGGGACGCCACCACATGCTGCAGGAGGACACCTGCCTGGCCTGCGAGCCGGCAGCGAGGCAAGAGAACGTTCCAGTTTTACTTCAGATCTGCTCTCAGGGGCCTGATGCTCTGTATTTTCCACGAACCTGGAATCTTATCACTCAAAATGATTTTGCTGAAAAGGGCTGTTTGACAGTACTGAGCAGATATAAGGCAAATTGGCTAAACAAAGTCACTAAGGAAGAAACTATAAAAGGCACAAATTGAAATTATTAGGTTTTCTGTTTTTCTCTAGTTGGAGTTGATATAAACCCAAATATATTTAGTATTGCTCCCAGACAGAAACAAACAGAAAAACATGCTTTTCTGTTCCACAAGGGCAGAAGCTTCGAAGCGCTCTGGACAGCGCCAGCAAAGCTTCAATCTTCCTGGACCTCACCGAGCTTCCGCAAGGCCTGTCAGCCCGCCTGGCCCCGGGACAGGCCCTCGCCTCCCAGCGTCCACTCTTTACCTTCACGTTTTACACACAGATTACTAAGGAAGAGGACTTGGTTCATATACATACCCTCTTCTTCCTACTATCTGTCCTCAAAACTCTATGGCTATTTTTTAGGGGTGGGGAGCCCAAGAAAGCCTAGACAGTTATTTTTTAGGAGTGGGGAGCCCAAGAAAGCCTAGACAGTTATTGTAATCACTCTTTTTCCAAAAAAGTGTGAAAGGGATAAGGAAAGTTCTGAAGCTTCTTTCTGTCCAAGGGAAAGGAGCCGCTCGCTGTGCCCGACAACCCTGGGAAGAGCAGCTAGCTTCTTTCTCGCAGTATCATCTGAAACGGCAAGGGAGCACCTCAGGCTGACTAAGGGCAGCCCCTTTTCTGGTGTCCTCTGGAGCCGGAGAAGGAACTGCTGACTACGAGCGCCTGGTCCCGAAGGGGACGGACCTGAGTGTGCCATCTCTGTCGACGATGCAAGGCCGAGCAGCCAGAGAGGTGGTTTGCTCTGAACGACTGAAAACAAGCCACTGCCCTCACGGCACCTCCAGTGACAAGCAGCAATGACACACTGGGCACTGAAGGCCTACTTGCTTCTTGCCTTTCTCCATTAACTTCGTTGGGCTGAGTCCCACGGCTCACAAACAACGCAAGGAGGGGTACGGGAAAACGGAGCGCCTGTAATTCGAATCCTGACTCATGCACCCATTTTCTCTCTCAAATTGGCTGGACATTTCTCAGAGTAAATGAGGACAGTAAAGAACAGTCTCATCAAGCATTTAGCTCATGTATGTTATGGACTGAATGACTGTCCCCCCAAAACCTGTATGTTGGAGCCCTAAGCCCCAGTGTGATAGCATCTGGAGGCAGGGACTTCGGGAGGTCATTAGGTTTAGATGAGGTCACGAGGCTCTCTGCCACATGGGGACAAAGTGAGACACCTGCACATCACGTAGAGGCCTCTCACAGGAACCCAGTCTGCTGGCCCCTTGATCTTGGCCTCAGCAGCCTCCGGAACAGTGAGAAGAAAGTGTCTGCTGTTTAAGCACCAGGTCTGCAGCCTTCTGTTACGGCAGCTCGAGCCGTGTAAAAACGTTCTCTTTAAACCACCTACGTGACCCATCAAGGCAGGCAGGCCAGACGGGGTATTCCAGAATGCTGTGACCCTGACACCCACGTGTCCCTTTGCTCTTGACTGATTCTTAAAGAAATACTTATCACACATCCACCAGGTGTCAGGCACTGTGCCAGACACTCGAAACAGTGGAAGCAAAAGCCGAGCCCCTGCCTCATGGAGCCGGCATTTGAAAGGAGCAAGAGGCATCAAAGAACCACGTCATTACAACAGGTAAGCGCTATGACAACAGGGATGTGGTAGCATAGATGGGACCCTGAAGGAGGCAGCTGGCCTCCCTGAGAAACAGTAGAGCTGAGATGTGACGGCCTCAGTAGAGTCACTGAGTGACCAGGAGGGGGCAGCGCTCAGGGCAGAGGGACCTGCCTGGGGAAAGGCCGGACGCTAAACAGAGTGCAGAAGTCCTGCGGCTGGAGGGCAGTGACAGGGCAGGGCAGCGCGGGCTGGAGCGGACAGCAGGGGAGGCAGGGCCTGCATCATCTCATCTAAACGAAGTAGAGCAATATGCAGAATGGGCCAAAGGGAGACAAGACTTCAGATAAACCTGACTTCATTCTCAATTTCGACTTCAAGATCAGATATGCTCATGTGGAAACACGCTCCCTATGGGAAACTGCGGAAGCTAAGTGCATGGAGGTGCGAGGCAGCCTCCTGGTGCGCAGGGCTCCGCGGCTGCACAGAAACCGCACTCCCCGCCTGCTCCCCTCCCCCCAACAGCTGACGGCTGGGACAGGCGGGTCACAATGACATTTCAAAAAACAGATGACATGGAAACACCCTTCTATGTCTCAAGTTCAGGATATTCAACTTTATAATGAATTTCTCCCCTCAAGTGAGCTTTCAAAGCATCATATGGAACTGCTCCCTTACCCAGCGGCCCTCATCAGGCAACCTTGACTACCCTGAGACCGGGAGTGCCTTACAGTGCAACGGGGAGACCAACGGGACCACCTCCCGACAGGCAGGGCAGCCGCAAAGCCAAAGCAGACGTAACCCGGTCTCAGGGTAGTCAAAAAACTCACAAAGCGACACCCGGACCATGTAGCTTGGGGTGAGCACGTGAAGGCTCATCATCACAACACTGACGAGCTCAACTCACCAGGACAGTTCACAGTCGGCAGGGAAAAGTTTATTTCATTTGAGAAAAACCTTTAAAAAACAAAATGCTTTGCAGTTAAGCTATCTAGAAAACTACCATTTCCGAAACTCCTCTTGATCAAACAAGATGGATAAATCAGTTGTTCTGCCTACAAAGTTATCAGGGAAGCTGCCAAGAGCCAAAGCGGTGCACTAAATGTTTTATTAACAAAAAGACTATGGCCCCAGGGCCCAGGGTTCGAGCGCTCTGCTCGGCCGCCTGGGGTTTGGCTGGTTCAGATCCTGGCGTGGACATGGCACCGCTTGTCAGGCCACGCTGAGGCGGCGTCCCACATGCCACAACTAGAAGGACCCACAACTACAATATACAGCTGTGTACTGGGGGGCTTTGGGGAGAAGAAGAAGAAAAAAAGATTGGCTACAGTTGTGAGCTCAAGTGCCAATCTTTGAAACAAACAAAAACACAAAAAGACTAATAGACTAATCTACCACAAAAAAGGAAAGCGCTAGGAACCCAACCACAGAGAAGACCAAACAGAATGGACTTAACAAAAAACTTTATTCCAAACAGAATACCAAAAGAAGCATGTTAACTCTGAAACTTTTAACAGATTTCATTTAAACTCATAGTCACAAAACTCAAAATATTAAACAAAATACAAACAAAAACAGCTTTGTGTGCTTAACCACTTTTAATAATGAAACTAAAAAAATCCTCAAATGTCAGGAGAACGCTGTTCAAGTCTTTGATACGCATTTACATGCACGTGAGAAAACAAAGGTGATTAATTTAAAGGAAATCAAGTCTGAGCGCTTCCCGTCTTCACACGGGCCTCCTGTCCACCGCCCCCTGACCATGTCCTCACTACAGCACGGCGTCCACGGGCCAGCAGGACTGCCTGCGCGACGCCCTCTAGACCCCACTTCCTACTTCCTGTCAACCCCCCCGTCACCCCTTCCGCGGCTGCACAGCCCCGTAACTGAGAATCGCCACTGTCACTGGGCTAGGGAGTCTCAGGTCTGCAAAGATGATACATGTCCCCAGTTCTGCTTTACTGCACAGATCACAATGTACAGCAGGTGATTGTAGAACCAACCATACGGTAAGGTGAACACTGACTACTGAGACAAAACATCAACTCTGCCTCCAAGCACAAATGAAACAAGGACAGAACTGGCACCAGACAGGGGCTGGCCTTCCCCCGCGGTGCAGTCCTGAGGGCTCACGGCACTCTGAGTGTGTCAAATGCAGAGCCCAGAGCCACTTCTGGTGGCAGCAGACACGGAGCACACGAGGCAAGACAAGGCGCCATCTGCACCACGTATGTAACAGAAAGGCCACTTTTAAAGCTTTTCAGATAAAGTTACTCGATGTTTGCCTTTTCAAGACTATTACCACACTAGGTCACACTGAAGGTAACAACAGTTCGCATCTCTTATTAACAGCACATTTTGACTTATTTTAAACGCCAGACAAAGCTGTTGGCTACCACAAGTTCTGAATATTTTGTTAAATTTAAGAACTCTATGTAGGACAACACAAAACCATCCCTGGTAATGTATTTGCAGTTTGGTCTTCAAAAGCTGTAAAAAGTGACAAAGAAATTCAAAAATATGATGAGCTAAAACCAGTAAAAATATTGTTTTTTAAATGCCACATATTTGAAACAGCAGAAACCAAGGCATCCTCCTCTGAATTCATTCGTATTTCCCAGAAGTGCCTTGGAACTCAGATTTCTGTCAGCTGCGTGGAGTGTGTAGACAAAAGGAAGCCCTGTGGAACCAAGGCCTCGGCGGCCAGTCCCGGGTGGTGCCCCTGCCCCATGCGGGGCACCTGGACACGCGGCGCTCAGGGACACACGCCCGAGAACGAGGCCGCAGGCCCCACGGTGCCCTCACTGTCCATTTCTGAAACCCAAGCCCCTTCAAATCCTGACTCTATTCAATCAGCCAAAGGATGCTCCTCACACTTATTAGGTGTCAAGGGCTTTTCTGAAATCCTTACATCTGCATCTCGGTTTCTAAAGTGAAGGGCCACTTCCAGCACAAGCCCGTCTGCCGTGTGCTGGGAAGCTGCGGGCCCCACCGCCGCCTGTCTGGAAGGAGCGTGCTCAGCGTGTGACAGGCCACACTGTGTTCAGAGGTTAAATGTCTTTTTTTGGACTATCTGCCCAGAAATTGAGGAAACTACCAACTGAGAGCCTGATTTTATTTCGGTCAGTATGTGCACATATTCAGATGCAATTGTCCAGAATGAAGAAAAGCCGGTTCATAAGAAGCCCAACTGCCCTGCCGCGTCCCGTGCTGGCAATCTTAACCACACAGTCTGGACTGAGGGGGGCTTTTACAAGACTGACGAACCACTTTTCTAGGATGCTTCGTATGTTTTATTAGTTACTCAATCGATGTATGAGTCATTTTGCCTCATTTGTCTGGAAAAACCATTGTGAACCCTGATTCCTTTGATAAGTAGGCGTTGGTCTGTGAGGTGAGGGATGAGTATCTGTCCAGCTCTTACCAACTTCTGGAATTTAAAATTAACCCTTCAAACATTTTTACTTAGATCTTATCCTCTCAAACTGTCTTATTGTTTTAATGACAAAAATGGTAAAAACTGGGTTCCCAAAATATAAAAATCCTAGAAGTCTTTATTTCCAAGAGTAAAATAAAAAAAAGACGGCTAACACCGCGGAGTGAAAGGTGCCCTGAGTTCTCCCCTCCCCTGGAAAATTTAGAAACCAGAAAAATCTGGGCTCCTGTTAACAGACTTCCAAAATAAAATTTTATGAAAGTGGTTTCCTTCTTTTAAAAGGAGAATTTCAAGAGAACAGGATACTTGAACATGACAAACTGCTACTCAAAGAAAAAAAACCTCTTCGATAAGTTGGCAACAATCAAAGAAACCAAGCTACACCGAGTTTGATTTATATGCAATTAATATGAAACTGAACGGGGTGAAATGCCTGTAACAAAATTTAAGTCTCTCCATCTTTTGGCAATGAAATAAGTGAAATTAACGGAAGGATATTTTGGAAGGGTTTAAGGTCACATTCAGAATTACACAAAAAACTTTCAAACCTAGAAGGCAAACTGGGAGCTTTCATTCGCTGCTTGCATCGACCATGTCTAAAAAACAAAGTTTAGATAAAGACTATCCCAACAGGTGCCTAGTTTCAAAACTAACACAAGCAATTTATCATGAAACGCCTACACCTGCCAGCTGCTTCTCGTTGCTGTTCCCCCGGTCCTACCACGCACACGCTCCAGGTGAATCAAGCCTACTCTGCAGCTCACCTGAGGGCGGAGGAGGACGAAACGGAGTAACGGAGGTCAGCCTGAGAATTCAGCGGGCCCTAAACACCTTTCCTCCGGCTGCTCATGGCCACTTACGTTTCAATACAGAAAGTTTAAAGACTTTTGAAGAAGAAAATAAAATCTTGGCTATTAGTTTCCTTGTCAAAAGCCATCAGATGGACAGCTATTAACCAGGCAATGAGCCTCAAGTTCTCAGATAACAATAAAACAAAACAAATCCCTCAACTTTTCCTGCTGAAACCTTTTATTCTGATTCGTTGGTGCTTAAGGGAAACAGCTGTGCCCGTAATTCCTTGTGCCCTGGACACCAACTGTCCTGGCCAATTAGGAATGAGGCCAAACCACATTCTTCTTAGAAGGTCTATTCAAGTGATAAATGGCACTTAACTGACTTCTTTCATATAATCTTTAACAAGAACTCGTAAGTCGCATTGATTATGCCCCAAGAGATGAGGGACCGATGGTAATTCAGATGGGCACCTCTGAAAAGGTTTGTCAGTTTCCTGTCCCGTTCTAGCCAGATTTTTTGGAAAACCTTGGGGAAAGACTGAAACTCCCCACCAATCTGAGACTGCATGCGAGTTTTTACGACATTAACTGGAAAAAACAAGATTCCCAGCACGGCCCCCAATAGACCTCCACAGATAAAATCGTTGACCAGATGAGCACTGTGAGTGGTGGCGGTCGGCAGATGCTCCTTGATGGGCCCTCGAAGGCCAAAAAAAAGGACATTGCTGAAACCATTACGGAAAAGAATGGGCACCAAGCCTCGATAATACTCTCTCATCCCATGGCATTTCAGCGCCTTGAACGCGTGATAGGTGTTTGTAAATTTGTCATGATGCTTGTGGTCTTGAAGCAATGTCTGAACTCTTTCCAGTGGAGTGAAGATCGCTTCTGTTGTCCCTGCCAGTACTGCTGCCATGCTACGGGTCGCAAACTCCGGGGTACTGACATGCTTATGGAGAAGGCAAGATAAATCCTCATAGAGCCCAAACATCAGTGCCAGCGTGGTCGTCTTCTGCATCAAGGGGGGAAGGATTCCGCGGTATAAGTTTCGAAATCCATCCCTCCTCAGCTGAAGGACTGCGTCCCGCGTCCTGATCCCATACAGCTGCTGCCGGAAGAGGACCTTCTGAATGGGGAAGGTGATGGCTATATTGTTGAAGGCTGCACAGCAGCCACACAAGTAATGCTTCATTCCACCAACGTGTGCAATATGAGGTGCTATGTCTTGTTTCGAAGATGTTAGGAGTGGCGCCCTCTTTTCATGAGCTTCAGAATCCATGTTGCTTAAGATCTTTCTTCCTCATGAAGGATCTTTTTTAACCTAAAAAAAATGAAATAACAATAGGTAAACCTTTATACACAGTGCTAAACACGTGGAACTTGCCCCCAACGCCTCCTCCAATTTCTGGACACTATGGCATTTTCTCTCTTAGAGCGGATCAGCAGTGCTTAAGGGACTGGAGAGGCCCCTGCAGCTCCCAAGGCCCGTCCAGGGTCCAGGAGGCCCTCCTGTCTCCAACTGCACATCTGCGTGAGGCTGCATCTTCTGCTTCTGCTTCAACCAAAACAACTTCTCACGCAGACTGGACGCAGAGGCAGACAGCAGACCCACTCATCTTTTAAGCCGGACATCAAAGAGATTTGCAAAACTGTAAAACACACTCTTCTCATTAAATTCTTTTTTTTGGAAAATAGTTATTTTTCAAGAAAAGGTGTTGTTTATGTTAACATGTAGTGGGTTTATCATTCCTATTTTAAAGTGAATAAATATTTTAATTTCTAAGACCATGAATATTATTTCCACATAAATAAAGGCTCTTTGGGGTCCACAATAATTTTAAGTATAAAAGGGCCCCGAGACCATAAACTCTGAGAACTGGTGGACTAGGTCATACACATTACCTACACTACATAGTGGCACATACCGTGATCCTTCTGAAGCAGATTCAAAGTCCTCCCATGAGAAACACACCAGCAAGACACACACTCATTCACTCTGCTCACGAACACTTGGTATCTAGCCTGAACAGACCCTCTGCAAAGTGCCAGCAAGTCACAGACAAGGAGCCCGCAAACTAACAGGAGACGGCCAAGGCACCAGCGACCCACAGTGACACGGGCTCTGTGAACACGTGCTGTGGGAGCACAGCTATGGGACACCCAACCACACTCTGGGGTGGAAGCTGGGAGAACAGGGTCAAGGAAGGCCTGCAAGTATGTACTAGATACTGTATTTTCACATTTAACTCCTGAAACTCCATAAAGTAAACAGTTTCCTGGTTTTACAAATGAAAAAACAAATACTCTTCTTTGTCCAAGGTCTAGTTAGTAACCGGTAGAGCTGGCATCTTTTTTTTTCTTTTTTGAGGAAGATTAGCCCTGAGCTAAGATCTGCCGCCCAGCCTCCTCTTTTTGCTGAGGAAGACTGGCCCTGAGCTAACATCCATGCCCATCTTCCTCTACTTTTTTTTTCCTGAGGAAGATTAGCCCTGAGCTAACATCTGCCAATCTTTTTTTTTTTCCTGAGGAAGACTGGCCCTGAGCTAACATCAGTGCCCATCTTCCTCCACTTTATATGTGGGACGCCTACCACAGCATGGCTTGCCAAGTGGTGCCATGTCCACACCTGGCATCTGAACCGGTGGACCCTGGGCCACCGAAGCGGAATGTGTGAGCTTAACCGCTGCACCACCGGGCCGGCCCCAGAGCTGGCACCTTGAAATGAAGTCTGTCTGACTCCAGGGCTCATGTCCCCACTATCATACCACAGATGGCAGTGGCTTCGGTAGGCTGCCCTGGGACAAAAATCGGCCATATCAGACCATGCTGGAAAAGATTTGCAGCCTAAATATATAGGCTTAGCCCACTGAGTGGGACTCAGGCCAAGCCTCCCCCCCAATACACCTGATCCCTTAGAATGTAAGACCATTCCGTGCCAGTCACCTAAGTCTGATCTTCCCCGAAAACGGAGCCAAACAGCTGCATCATCCAGAACAATCCCTACATCACAGAAATCGTCCCCGAAATGACATTTGTGCACTAAGTGGGAATTTTACTGTATTTTAAATATATCAGGCTACATATTTTTAAATTGATTCTAATTCCTCAACAGTAAGAGACCACATTAACTACAACTCAACAACAAAAAATTAAATACTCTGATTAAAAAATGAGCAAAGGATTTGACAGACATTTCTTCAAAGAAGATATACAAATGGCCAAGAAGCACACGATAAGATGCCCAACATCACTTATCATCAGAGAAATGCAAATCAAAACCACAGTGAGATACCACCTCATACCCATTAGGATGGTAGTATTAAAAAAAAAAAAAAACAGAAAATAAATGTTGGTGGGGACATAGAAAAGCTGGAATCCTTGTGCACTGTTGGTGGGAATGTAAAATGGTGAAGCCACTATGGAAAACAGTATGGTGGCTTTTCAAAAAATCAAGAATAGAACTACCATATGATCCAGCAACCCCACTTCTGTGCATGTACACAGAAAGACTCGAAAGCAGGGGCTCCAAGACATACTTGCACATCTACGTTCACAGCAGCACTATTCACAGCAGTCGAGATAGAAGCAACCCGACCGTCCCATGACGAATGAGTGGACACACAATGTGGTCTATCCATGCAAGGAGCACCACGGGGCCTTGAGGAGGAAGGAGATCCCGACATGCCACAACATGCAGGAACCCAAGGACACTATGCCAAGTGAAATAGGCCAGTCATGAAAGAAAAAACACTATGATTCCATTCCCATGAGGCACTGAGAGCAGTCAAACTCGCAGACAGAGTGGAGCAGGGGCTGCCAGGGGCCGGGGCGGCCAGGGAGTTGTTGTTTAACACGTATAGTTTCAGTCCCACCAGATAAGAATGTTCTGGAGATGTGCTTTATAACAACGTAAATATACTCAACATTATTCAACTGTACACTTAAAACTGGTTAAGACAGTAAATTTTATACGTATTTTCTACCACAATAACAAAAAAAAGATTACACGTAAGGGTTTCAATGGCAAAGAAAGAAAGAAAGTAGGTCAGATAAACCATCTAGGTCTTTAACTTATGACAAAGAAACATAAACAAAAAACTCAAGCAAACCAAGGTCCTTATCTTTTTCCCTCCCCATACCACACACACGCTGCTGGCAACTACTGAGTTCAGGACAAAAGCTGTTCCAGAGATCCGTCATCACTGTCGGGAGGCAGAGCTCAGAGCCGAGCCAGGCCCAGAGAAGGTGCGGAAGCCGTCAGTGCTGCACAGCCGCCCTCTGCAGGAGCCACAGACGCGAACACGAGAGCCGGTCACACAACTGTACTTCCCCTTCTAGGAATACAGCCGAAGGGAGTAATTACCGACACAAGATGTGCGCCAAGATGCAACTGCAGGACAGTCACAACACTCCCAACAGAAATGCTGAGAAAGATTAAACGCTCCACAACAAGGACACTCTGTATAAACGAAGATGGATCCACGTGACGGCGTATCACATAGATATTAAAAATAAGGGGCCGCTGGTCCATGGCCCAGTGGTTAAGTTCGCGCACTCCGCTTCAGCAGCCCAGGGTTTCGCCGGTTTGGATAGTGGGCGCGGACATGGCACCACTCATCAGGCCATGCTGAGGCGGCGTCCCACATGCCACAACTAGAAGGACCCACAACTAGAATACACAACTGCATACTGCGGGCATTTGGCGAGAAGAAGGAAAAAAAAAGATTGGCAATAGATGTTAGCTCAGGTGCCAATCTTCAAAAAAAAAAAAAAAGATGGGATATTAAAAATAGAGTAAGGTTCAGTATATCAATTTTGGATTTTTTAATGGTGTTAATGAAATTTTAGATAGCAGTGAGTCCTTTTTTGGATCAATAAACAGAGTTACAGGGAAAAAAACACAAAAAACAAGGAGAATATCTTTTATTGACATGGTACCATTCATGGTATGTTTTTGTCAATATACATATAAAAAAGCTAAAATTAGTTTATATTTTCTCATTTCATAATAACACTGTATTTCCCTTTTCTATATTTTTCAAGTTAAACTTCTCTCAATCTATTCAACTCTGCTTTCAAAGCTGGGGACAGCTGCCACAATGAACCAGGACGACAGAGGCCAGCAGGGAGACGGGCAGCACAGCTCCCAGGTGACCAAAGGCAAACGGCTGCACGGAGGCTGCTTCCACCCTGCGGGGTGACAGAGAGAGTCGCCAGGTCCTGAGGCCACGCTGGGGACACCATGACACTGCAGTCAGGGTCCACTCTCCCCGTTTCCTTCCTCCCTAAATCCTTTTTAATAAAGATGTTTTTGTATTTGCTTCATTCAGACTTACAGGATAACACTGTCAAGGAGACTCATTTACATTTGCCGGGAACTCCTCCTCCTTTGCCTGCTTTCACACTGGCCCCTTAGTACACTAAGAGAATCAAATTCAACCAACTGAGGCTGCTCCTGTAATGGTCCAGGTGCCGCCCTGTTGTCAGAGATTACAGAGCACAGGACCCTGGCCTCAGGGGAGATAAGACATGCACTTAGACTACAGTGTGATAAATGCAATCAGAGAAGCATGTAGGAGGTACAAAGGCCCCACAGAGGGAGGGGTCATTAGCAGTCTACAAGAAACCCAGGGCAGGCGACAGCCTCTGGGCAGGGCTCTGAGCTCGGAACAGGACTCCAATGCACAAAAGGGTAAAGCACCTCTGAGCCAAAGGTGGCACAGGCTAGGGTGCAGGTCCGGTGTCAAGGGAGCAGCAGGATCGCATTCTTGAGGACTTACTCAACTATGTCCTGCTGGAGCATCACGCTGGGGGAGACGGATGGGTGGCACATGAGGACTGAGAAGCGGCGAGGACCCGTGTGAGGAGACCCTCTGACACTACTATGTGCTATTCTTCTCCTTTCTGACGTGAAGCAAACGGAAACAAACGATTTTCCTTAAGTATGTTAGACCTAGATCTGCATGCCCTTTTCCCTGTGCTAAGAAGAAAACCTAACACCTGCACACTTCAGCCCAAGCCTGTCTGGAGTGCGAGCTGGCCTGCTGATGCGTTTCTATTAGAAAGGTGACCTTGCCCTCACCGACAAGCACCACGACTAGACACTGCTGAGGCCCAAAGTGTGCCCCAAGGAAGGTCATGAAAGGGGTCAGGGAACTTTTCTCCCACCAGAAGTCACCTGCTCACACCTATGGAAGTCGACATGCCCGGGAGCCACCCTTCCACTGCTGGCCCCCACGACTGGCAGAGCCACACCCCCTGTGGGTGCCCACACACTCCGTTCATCTGAGGAAGCCCCACCGATGCCGAGGGCTGGCAGCAGGGGACTCAGAGCTGCATGCTGCTTAGCCATCACAGATGCGGAACAAAGGGACAGTAGAAACTGTCCCACTGCAACTGAAATCAAGGAGGCGGCTCCGAGAGAGGGATGCTCTCTACCTGGCAGGTATTACAGCAGGCAGACTGAAGTCACCTGCATGCTCAACCCAGCGGCCTGGCTCCTCGGAGCTGCTCGGAGACCCAGTAAAATGAGAAATAAACCGTTCAAATAAACACTCATAAAAGAAAGGTGTATTACTTTTTAAGAAAAACATTTACACATTAAAAAAGATGTGCATTTTTTTTGGAGAAAAATAATGTTGGAAACCAATTAAATCGACAGCTGTCCTCTCCTCAAGGCTCACTGCTGGGCGCAGATGCTCTTCGTCTCTGGCCTGACCAGCGCGAAGGCCCTGTGCCATCAGCCCGACCAGCCACGCTCGCCTCGCCGCCTGCCTCACCCCCACCCCCCCATCGTTAAAAACTACAAGAAAGAACAAAACTACCGAATGGAAAATTAAAGTGTATAACAATGCATTTTGGAATCTTCTAAGAACAGCACAGACACCCTGGGGTTCTGAACGGTTGCATAATATTCTATCAAACGGATGTCATTTATTCTATTTCCTATTTATGGTCGCTGTTTGTTTTTTTGGCTTTTTCCTTTTTCTGCTTTTTAAAAAAATGCTGCAATTGGACATCCTTGCACCTGTCCCTTGTTGGGTGCACTCTCCCCACCTTATCTACCTACAGGGCACATCTTTAGAACGGACTGCTGGCTCAAGGAGTAACACATCTTGACTCGATAGCTACTTCAAACTGCCCCCAGAAAACGCATCAGGATTCACATTTCCACTAAGTGTGTACCAGTACGTTTCCCTGCCATTCCTAGCACCAGGTATGGAAACGTAACTTCTGCCAATCTGATGGGTGAAAAAAAATCTCGTTTTATCATTAAAATTTTTGAATAAAATTCAGCATTTTTCATTTACATTGAACATCTGAATTTCTTTTACTATAAATTTTCATGTTACCCATTTTTCTGTGGGTACCTCGTTTTTTTCTGATTTGTAAAATTTCTTTGTATATGAAGAAAATCAATCCTAGTTACATTAAATTGTGGCAAATACTTTTCCCACTTTATATCATTTTCGTGATACTGAAACTCTTAATTTGGATAGTAAATCTATTGATTTTGGCTTCTAGACTCTGTCCTCCTTAGAAGGCCTTCATTATTCTAAAATTATAAACATGTAATCCACGCATCCTTCTACAACTTCCATGGTTTCATTTATCATCAGTACTGTAATCTCTTTGGAATCTGAGCATACGGGGCGAGGCAAAGACGAGAGATGGCCCACGAAACTGACTGACGAACTTCCCTTCCATCCCTGGTCAGCACAACCCGGACACCCACAGGCACCTGCACTTCCTCCTGCGCTCCACTGTCCCCACAGCCTCGTCTCTCTTCTCCAGCACCGACCTGCCTCAACCTACCGTAGCACCAAGACAGACTTCACTATCTAGTAGGCTGCCCCCCTACTCTTATCAGACTTAGCAGTTTTCCCAGCTCTCACTTTTCCAGGTAAATTTTAGTGTATTTCTGTCATATTCCTCCCAAAAATCTCGTTGGTACCTTATAGTGGAAGTGACTTTATAGGTGAGTTTAAAGAACTGTCACCTTTTCAAAATTGAACCTTACAGGGACATGGGGTATTCCTACTTACTTGTACTTGTTATCTTTTTATGAGCTTTAGTAGCATTTTAAAATTCTTTCATATAGATCTTAAATATTTCTTATGTCTAGGTATTTTCCTTTTCAGTCACTATTAATACTTCCAATTAGTTTTCTAACTGCCTTTCGTCTGCGTATGAAAAAGCTACCAGTTCTTGCGTGTTAAGGTTAGAATCAGCCAACTTACTGAATCCTCTTACTATTTCTCAGTTTTTTGGTGGATGTGCTTCAGTGTCCACTTTAGTCATGCACTGCATGACGACATTCGGTCAACAAGGGACCGCATAGGAGACGACGGTCCTGTAAGATTAGGAGCATCCAGCCCAGGTATACAGCAGGCTGTGCCACGCAGGTTTGTGTAAGTACTGCAGGGAAGGAAGAAATTTTCCTGTATCCTTCTAGGTTCTTCTGCCTAGTCTAAGAATTAAATTGACATGAGACAGACTGACAAGAGGAAAACAAACGAGTTTAATAACACCTACACATAGTGGAAACCCAGGAAAACCAAATAACTCCCCCAAATGGCCAAAGCTCTCACCTTGAATACCATCCTCAGCTAAACCACAGACGATGCTGGGGGTGGGGAGAGTCAGGGACTCATAGGTCGGTGAAAAACAGCAGCTAGTATCTGGCCACCGAGAAACAGAAGACACAGAGCGGAGCCCAACACACGGGCTTTTCTAGGTTCCTCCCTGTCTGCCACCTAGTTCATGTTATCCTAAGGTAACACTCGCTTCTTGAGACAGGTTTTCTTATCTGAATCCTTTTAGGCAGCTAAGGGGGAGGTAATAAGAAAAACTCTGAGTCTTGTTTCTCAGAAATAAATACCCTAAAATAATCCTCATGTTAAAGAGACATATTTTAGGTAGCAAATTGTGTTCCCCTTCAGTGCCCTGGATGATGTTCACACAGTGATGAAATTGCCTGACGATGCATTTCCCAGAACAATCTCCATTGTCAGGCAATGCGTGACGTATATAAAATATCACAGATAACTTTGCTTTCTCCTTTATAATATGTATCTTTCTTTCTCCTATCTTATTGAATTGACAAATACTTCCTGAATAAAATTAAATTATGGTAATACTGAACAGCCTACATTTTTCTTGACATTTGTGTCAACTCATCTAGAGATTACTATTAAGCGTGACACTGGCTTTTGGTCTGACAAACAGAAGTTCTTGTCATCTGAGTGTTCATAATCCACATCCTAGCACTTCCGCACTGATCAATTGGCCCCTATAAGACCTGTTCCCACTCGAGTAACCTTCCCCATTTACCACCCACTCCTGCCCATCTTTGGGACTGTGCTGCAGACATGAAGTACAGCGTCTTTCCAGTGCCGTCATATAATTTCATCTGACAAATTACACTAAGATGCCCAAAGCTTCATTCTGATTAGAATATATGCAATTATAACTTAAGACTCTGCCCGTGCTATTTACGAGGAAACTGTTTTCCAGTAAAAATGGATGTCATTTTTCTAGTACTAGTGATCAAATGATCATAAGGGCCTTTAGAGAGTTTTCACACATGGGAAGGCAATATATATTAATTCCTGTTTTACTAAACTCCACCCACTCCACCCCTTCCCACCACCACTAAATCAGGAATCTATCTCGGACTTCGGTCAAATGCTTTTAGGAAGCTACTGACATAATCACGTGGCTACTGGAGACAGAGCCCGTGTAACATCTAACAGCTACAGCTAATTGTCTGGGCTCAAATCCTGGCTCCACCACGTTATCTACCGTGTGCCCTGCAGCAAGTTACTCACGTCTGTATGGCTTAGTTTCCTCCTTTATAAAACAAGGATGTCACCCACCTCAGAGGCTGGCTCGCTTAGTTGAATTAATACACGTAAGGTGCCCAGGAGAGTGCTCTGGAGCACAGCAGGTGCCCTGCAAGGACGAGCTATTCCACTGCTCTTTTCTGATGCATTGATCTGGTGTGTACACTAGCATGCTTCCTGCTAATTACTCACTCTTGTAATAAGGAGATGGATCCTACTTGGCCATGGTGAAATATTTTTTTTAATGTATTGTTAAAAACCATTTGCTAATATTTTATTTTAAAATTTCACATCACTATTCATAACATCAAGTTTTCAATTTTAGTACTATCTTCATGCCAAGTTCAGGTGTCAATGTTCCACTGGCTTTGTAAAAAGAATCTGTTGTTTCTCCTTCCTTACATTGGTGAACAATTTAAAGCTTATCAAAATTATCTTTTCCTTGAAAGTTAAAAAACTCACCTGTAACACCACGTGGGCCTGGTGTTTTGGGAGATGGCAGCTTTTTGATAACTTTCTCAATTTCCTCCATGTTACTGGTCTGTCAGGTTCTCTCTTCTGGAGTCAGTAGCGGTAAACAGATTTCCTTAAAAAAAAAAAAACTCTATTTATATAATCTTATAGAGCACTTGTTATTTTAAAAAATACTTCTAATCTTGCGTACTTATATTCTTTTTTCTTGAGCAGGGTAGCCAGTTTACCTAACTGATATTCCTCATATCCCAATAAGACTCAGCTCAAGTTTACCAATTTTAATATTTTTCAATCTTCAAATTTATCATTATCTCTTTTCTCCTGTTTTGTCTAGTTTTATCCTAATTTTTTGAGTTAGATGCTTATTTTTATTTAGTCTTTATTTCATAATGAGTGTTTAAGGCTACACATTTTCCTTTGAGCAAAACTTTTATTACTGTTTAAGATATTCTGTGGAGAATTTTGGTCTAATTGGTCGCCTCACCATCTGTATCGTGCCCTGTTTCTTCACCATAGAGGCTCTGATTTGGGATTTTATGCTCCCTTTCCAGGGTGCAAGCCTGCCCTGGCTTTGTGCCTCACAGCACACCCTCTGTGCTCAGGAGAGCACCCTTCTCATGGCCCACAGGAAAGCTCCTAAAGGGATGGATCCCGATATTCGGCAACTGACCTCCAGTCTCAAAGGTTCAATGACAAATACACCCTGAAGCTGACCTTCGTTAGTGGGAGAACAAGGCAGCAGCAGGAAGCCAAGTTCATTGCTAAGTTTTTTGACCAGAGCGGGACACTGGGCATGGATGCATATGAGCCTGAAATATCCAGGCTCCATGACACTCTCGCCACAGAAAGAAAAATAAAATAGCCAATTCTAAAAGTAGCCATCTTTCTGCTGGATCATGCTGAAATACAGGGTGATGGGAAAAGAAACAGAGAAAATGTCTGATGAAGTAAGAAATGTTAAAAATGCCCTTTTTGTCCTGTACTCTGAGCCCATTCTGGACACACAGGATTTTCTAGCAGAGAGAGAAGCTGTCGCTCTGACATGAAGCCACAGCCTCCCTTGACGGGCTGTGCTGTTTCGATTTGCTGTCCTGGACACGACCTTTGCTAGAAGCCGTGCAGACTTCTCCTCCACGCCTAGCAGCACTCAGTCCTTCACGCAGCACAGCGGCGCCCTGCAGCACTCAAGACGTCTTTGAAACCCGTTAAGTTTTAAGTCCGTTGCTAACTTCACTGTGCTAATTCCTGTTTCAACAGCTGTTTGCCTTAATTCAGGAGACAACTTCTTGCGTATGACAGCTCTCCTTCACACACCATTTTTGTGGGTGTGTATATATCTGACTTGAGGAGAACTGAGGAAAAAACACAGCTTTTAATTTGTTTATAACAGACCTCTGCCTATCACAGTTTGTGCTCTCAACCAATTAAAGAAGCCAGTGGCATTTTCAGTTTAAAAAAAAAAGTTTTACAGATGCTCGAGAAGTGTGCAGGGTACAGAGTTTGATAATTATCAATCACTTAGTTCACTACGTCCTTACTTCTTACTGTTTCAGCTGACAGACAGGAGTTTAAAAACTCTTATTAGCACTACATTTGCCATTCTAAGATTCACCAACATTTAAAAAACAAATTGGTAGGGGCCCGCCGGTGGCGTGCTGGTTAAGTTTGCACACTCTGCTTCGGCAGCCCAGGGTTCAGAGAGTCGGATCCCGGGTGCAGATCTACAGGCCACTCATCCAGCCATGCTGTGGTGGCATCTCACAGACGAAACACAAGACGACTGGCACAGATGGCAGCTCAGCGACAATCTTTCTCACCAAAAAAACAAACAATGACTTAGCACAGAAACGCTTTATATCCACGTCCTGCTTTTCCCTTCTTCAGAGTTTCAGGACTAAACAATGTTAAAATCAACAAAAATACTCCGATTAATGTATATACGATTCCACAATAACACCTGTGACAATTTATGAATGTAAAAAGCTTCACTTTTACATATTTACATAACAATGCACTTTAAATTCTCAAGTTCCCATGTACAAGCTGTTTAACAATATATGCTCCTTGATAATACAAATCTTATTTGTACACTTGAACAAAATTCTGTCCACGTTCACTTTCAATTTTTATTGGAATAGTACCTGTATCACTTTCCAAAATCTTGCAAATTCAAGTTACTTTATCTAGTTTGTCATGACTCTCTGTGATAATGGAAATTGTTATTAAACAAACAGAAAACTGTGGCTAGCAGGAGTTAGCCAGTCATTTATTGACTACTGTATTGAACCATTTTAAGAAACCTTAAGAACATTACTATACATTTAGTCTCAGATTTTAAAAATAGGCCTGGACACAGGAAAAAGGAAAGTAACGAAAGCTTCCCAGACTTCAGATTTAGAGCTTCCCCTCCAGTTCCATCCTACACCCCAGGATGGTGTGGACAGGCTCTCAATCTAGCAACAGAGGGAAGAACAGTGTGCACAGGATTCCCTGGCAATGAAGTTTAGACTTCTGCATGTTCATCTCCTCTGTGAACATGGCTACATTTCTTTGCTAAACTGATTTCTATATTTAAATTCTTTAACATGGATAATTCTTTGCAATTTATTGCAAAATTTGTTTACCATAATTTGACACGTTTGCTACCTAAACACTCCATCTATCTCAACATTAAGGAGCAAAATTCATGAAGATGACTTTCAAGCAACTGCAGTGTCAAACTTCTGCAGCATAAGAAAACATGGTAAAGTCTAAACACACACGGTAACTTACAGCTCACATGGATAAGCAGGACTCAGATGTGACTCCAGCACCAAGGTCTTCGCGCAAAAACTGGGGAGAAGGCAACTGTAATTCTCACAGGATGTGAACTCGCACGAGTCAGCATTCAGAAAAGATCAGTCTGGGCTCCACCCCCAGTTATGACACTATTTTGCTACTATCAGTACAAAGCAACGTCTATATAACTTAAAAATCCACTCCTCTAGGCTGACTTCAATCTACCAAAGCAGAGACCAGATAAGTCCACTCCTTTTACAGGTAACAGCTTGTGATTTTTCCCTGAGATGCACTAAGGGTGACTCCCGATCAAAAGAGCCTAATCTGTGCTCTAACCACTAACGGACCCGACCAGTCCCAGCACCTTTTGATTTTACGGAATCCTTTCAAACCAAGGGCGGAGGAGGCTCAAGCTGGCAAGGCCACTGCGCATTTACTTTAAGGACGTCTGTTTCACAGCTTACAGGCAGAGAAACAGAAGGGGGGAATTAAGACCAGCTGTGTACAGCTGTAAACGGGCAAAATAAAGGTCACGCCGAAAGGGTGAGTACAGCTGAGGCACCGACATGCTCCATACAGCTAGGCTTAATACCAAATAACTGGTGCAGAGATTTGCAATTAACAAAGCGACCACCTCGTCCCCGTAAAACGCCTTGTACAACGGAGTTTCCCACAACGCCATGCAACATGGTGTCGCAGAATCAGCAGTGCCCGACTGCGCGGCTGAACTTACCGCCATCCGAGCGCCCGTCTCCCCAACAGCGATAAGGCGGAGGGAAGGGCTGGCAGGATCGCCAAGACCCCTTCCGTCCCTGACATTCAACAGAGTCAGCGGTCCCGGAAACCCAAACCCCGGCGGCGGGGGCCCTTCCGCCGTCCGAGCGCGGCCTCCCCGCCCGGCGGCCGCTGGGGCCCGGGGCGCCCCGGCTGACTGCACGGCCGCCTCCGCGGGAAAGGCTCGCGCGCGCAGCCAGACGGCGCCCGGCGCGGCGAAGCGGCCCTCACGCGGGAGCCCCGGCCGCGCGCCCTGCCGCCCCGGACCTGCGGCGCCCGACCCCCGGCACGGCGCGCGCGAACGGCGGGGCGCGCGGGGGGCGCAGGGTGCGCGCGGAGAGGCGGGCCCCGCGGGCGCGCCGGAGGCCGGCCCGGCGGCCTGCTCGGCACCCCCGCGCTCCCACTCCCTCCACGCAGAGGCCGGGGAGCCCCGGGCTCCCCTCGCGCGCGCCCCCCACACTCACCATCGCCACGGGCGCCCGGCCCCAAGCCCGGCAGCCGCCCGCCCGCAGGTCGGCGAGCGCCCGAGCCCGCGAGCAGCGCCCGCGCAGGCGCAGACCGTAACCGACCGGCGCGCGGGGCGGGGCGCTCGACACCGCCCGGGCCGGGTCACGTGAGGAGCACGCCGCCGCGCCGCCTTTCCAGAAGCCCGCGGAGAGTCGGGTGACGCCCTCCGGCTTCTCGCCGCCGTTCGCCGCGGTGAGGCAGGTATGGGGTGTTCATCCCACCTGTCGTAAGGCATTGGGGCTCCGCGAGCCAGAATACCGGTCCCTTGTCATCGTACGGCGGCCTTGCCGTGCCACAAACAGCCAACGCGTTCTCTAGCTCGCGGCCTGCGGGAGGACCGTGGGCGTGGACCCAGTGGGTGGCGAGCGCTGAAGCCTTGAAGGTGCCCCGCCTAGCCCCTTTGTAGCCTTGATTAGATTTCATCAAGCCCTGGAGTGGCCTTTCCTGTGGGCCATGAGAAGGATGTTCTCCTGAGCACAGATAAAGGGTGTGCTATGATGCACAAAGCCAGGGCAGGCTTGCACCCTGGAAAGGGGAGCATATAATCCCAAATCAGAGCCTCTATGGCGAAGAAACAGGGCACGATACAGATGGTGAGGCGACCAATTAGACCAAAATTCTCCACAGAATATCTTGAACAGTAATAAAAGTTTTGTTCAAAGGAAATCCAGGGGCCGGCCCGGTGGCAGAGCGGTTAAGTTCGCACGTTCCACTTGGGCGGCCCGGGATTTGCCCGTTTGGATCCGGGTGCGGACATGGTGCCGCTTGGTGAGCCACGCTGTGGTAGGCGTCCCATGTATAAAGTAGAGGAAGATGGGCACGGATGTTAGCTCAGGGCCAGTCTTCCTCAGCAAAAAGAGGGGGATTGGCAGCAGATGTTAGCTCAGGGCTGATCTTCCTCAAAAAAAAAAAAAAAGGAAAATGCATAGGCTTAAACACTCATTATGAACTAAAGACTAAATAAAATAAGCATCTAACTCAAGAAATTAGAATAAAATTAACCTAGACAAAACAGAAGAAGAGAGATGAGGATGAATAAATTTAAAAAGTGAAGAATATTGGTAAACTCAAGAGCTGACTCTTTGTTCAGATGGGAGGAATATCAATTAGGTAAACTGGCTACCCTGCTCAAGAAAAAAGAGAATATAAGTACACGAGATTAGAAGTATTTTTTGGCTCTTCTTGGGCATATGAATGTTGGAGATCAAAACCCTCTATTTTCTGATTCAGAATTCATCAGCAAGTGCTTTATAAGACTATAAACTGGACCTGCATATATAGGACCTACAACTGGAATGTACAACTATGTCCTGGGGGGCTTTGAGAAGAAGAAGAAAAAGATTGGCAACAGATCTTCGCTCAGGTGCCAATCTTTTAAAAAAAAGGCTATATAAATAAACCAGATTTTTTTTTAATGGAAATGCGTTCACAGAAGGACACCTGTGTGTGCTTTAGGACCTACAAATCACTTTTAACCTGTTTCTTTTCAACCCCAGATGACTGGCAGGTCTTGGACTCCGCTCACAGGAGTTAGGAGGCCTAGGTCAAGTCACAGCCCTGACACTTCCTGGGAGTGACCTTGGTCAAGTCCCTGGGCCCCAAATGCCTGTCTGAGAAGTAGCGCCTACCTCGCATGTGTCCCTCAGCCCTTGGAAGAATCCCTGGGAGCGACGGTGTGACTCTCACTGGTCAACTGGAGCTTGCACAACAGAGGTGAGAAAGGTCACCCTGGAGAGGAGAGGCTCGTCAAATACGTGAAGTGTGTGCTCTGCACTTGGGGTTAGTCCAGTAGGCAACCCCACTGGAGTGAAGCGTCGCTCAGGGGACGGCTCCAGCAGGTGTCTTTCCCTGCCCGCTTCCCCCGGGAGCACCCTGTAGATACTGACTCCAGAATTTTGTCTGGTGTGCCTGAGCTGGGCAGTTCACCTGCTTCTTGGGATGTGGGAGACCATACTACTGATTTCAGCACACACTCTCCTGAGGTTCCTCCCATGTGCCATTGTCCATACCTAAGCTCTCTCGGGGGAGCTCAGAGTCTCACGAAGGATAGAAAAACAAGACTGGAAATTCAGAAGCATAAGGGGCCCTTCCCCTTGAGAGAGAACCAGGGACAGCTTCAGAGGGTAGGAGGTGTTTGAACGGGGGTTTGGAGGATGAATGAGTGGAATTTGGGCTAGGGGAGAAAGTCACAGTAGCAGGAGATAAGATTAAGGTCGGGTGGTGGGGTCTGATAATGCAAATCCTGACTGTCAGACGGTGGGCCCCGGGCACCTAATTAGGCTCCACAGGACAAGGACGAGGCCACGCAGTGGTTTGGAACGATTAATCGGGCAACGGGGGGAAGGGCGTTTACCTCAAAATTATGTTTGCCATGCCTCGTGTGAATTCCTGTTCATGTGGATTATTCGAAAAATAAATAAGGCAGGTGGGCATCCAGCATGTTCATAGGCATAAATAATTCATTTCAGATTAGAATGGAGACGTTATTCTCCTGTGGTAAAACCTGAAAAGGAGGAAAAGACTGAAATTAAACACACAATTGGGGCAAGACTCCAGAGAGTGAGGAAGTCCCAGGCCAGCAGGAACACGGGAGTCTGAAGCGCAGCCATTGGCTTCTGCTACGCTGCAGGCCACAGTGCAGGCCTCTGCCCGTCTGCTCTTAGTTCCTTGTCAGAAACCCCCAGGCCTTTAATTGGCTCTTCTTGGGCATATGAATGTTGGAGATCAAAACCCTCTATTTTCTGATTCAGAATTCATCATAAAGTTAGCCTTTCATTTCTCTGTCCTCATCCACCCATTCTTTTGTTCACTCTCCAGTCTCCTAACCTCTTCATTCCTCCAGCCTCTGTCTAGGCTGTCAGCTAAATGTCCTTCTAACCTGGCTTTGATCATCTCACTCCTCAGCTTAAAAACCTCCAATGGTTCCCTCTTGCCTCCCAATACCAAACGCCTTCACTCGGCACGAGGCTGTCTGTGTCCTGGCCCCTCTGCCTGTCTGTCCACCTCATTCCCAGCTACACTCTGTACTTCAGCTTCGGCCATGTGCCATCGCTCAGTGTTTGCAGATCCTTGTGTTCTGTAAGCCTTTCCCTGCCCTTTCACCACCGACACTTCAACTCTTCAGCCGTCAAACATGTGAATGCTTCCAGGCCCTTAGCCTCTTCCTCCGAAAAGCCGCCTCTGACTACCCACACAGAACTGGCCGCCCTTGCCTTTGCCTTCCCGTAGGACAAAGTTTGGGCAGTTCCAACATCCTGCCCCGTGTCCTAGTTGTCGTCCCGCTGTCTCCCTTTCCCAGGGCAGAGGTGCCTGACTTGTTTCTGGCCCTCCGACTCAGTGCTTGGCAGAAAGGGTGTTGGCCCAAATAAAATGCTGCTGAAGAGGGCCTGGGTTCTTGGGGAAAGGGCCATAGGAGTGTTGCTGACTGATCTTTGCTTAAGCACCCCAAAGTGTTTCCTAGAAAGTTGTCTAGTGCCCTCAGACTCCATGAGTCCTTGGTCCACAGAAATAGCTTTACACAAGCTGTCAGTGGTTGTCATGACTACCCACGTGAGTGGCTCTGCTCAGATTAGGTCACCTGCCGTAGATTGTTTCCTGGCAAGGGGTCAGTGACCTTCCTTCCTCTCAGCTCACATTTCCCAGGCCCCTGCAATCGTCTGCCACTCCCCTTCACACCCCCAGGCTCCAGCCACACCGCCAGCAACTGCTGGTTCCCTTCCTGGAACTTACTGCATTCTTTTACACGCCCCCAACTACGTACATTTTGTCCTCTGTGCCTCGAAGGCCCTGCCTGCTTCAGGGGAGTCCTGGCACCTCACTCTCTGCTTACGCAGATGCTTCTGTTGCTTTCCCTGACCCTCGCCTCACTGCCGCAGAGCTCGCCACTGTGCTGGGGGAGGGGTGTCCTTGAACTCCTTCAGTCCATCTGTCCCCACGGCTGGTCTGTGAACTCCAGGACATGCTCCCTTTCTCCTTCGTTCATTTTCAGACCCACATTGATCTAGCAACTCACACAATCTGCACGTATAACACATAGACCTGAGGCAGAGCTCTTCCCCTGCAAGCCTGTAGAGATCCTCTATTCTATTCCATTTATTCATCGCCTTATTTTCATGCTGGTGGAGACCCACTGAATCAGTGAGCCTCGACCCTGTTTTACACCAGAATTATCTAAGAAGCTTTAAAAACCAAATCAAACCCAAACAAAGCCCCCCCCAGATTCTGATTTAACTGGTCTGCAGTGGGACCTGGTACATTTAAAAGCTCCCCAGGTGTGCTGAGATTGTGAGCAAGCACTAAATCCTTGCTCTTCAACATGCCTAAAGATGAGAATCACCTGAACATGGCCAAGCGCCCTGGGACCCCAGGCGCACAGCATCAGCATCACTTGAGAGCTCGTCACAAATGACCCTTCCTGGCCCTCCCCAGACCCAGTGAGCTGAGATCTGTATTTAACGAGATCACCAGTGATTTGTACGCACTTTACAGATTGGAAAGCTAGATTCTGGAGCCGGCCTGGTGGCACAGTGGTTAAGTTCGCACGTTCCGCTTCTCGGCGGCCCAGGGTTCCCTGGTTCGGATCCCAGGTGCGGACATGGCACCGCTTGGCATGCCATGCTGTGGTAGGCATCCCACATATAAAGTAGAGGAAGATGGGCACAGATGTTAGCTCAGGGCCAGGCTTCCTCAGCAAAAAGAGGAGGACTGGCAGTAGTTAGCTGAGGGCTAATCTTCCTCAAAAAAAAAGGAAAGCTAGATTCTAGCTCCTGGAGGGTCAGTTAAAAACAGATCCCTAGTCCCAAGTCAGACCTACTATGAAATCAGGATTTCCAAGGGAGAGGCTGGTTGGCCTGTCTATATTTAACACAAGCACCAGGCGATTCTGCTTAGGCAGTTTTGGGAAACAGCTCTAAATTGATATTCTGACCCATAATAATGACCTAAAGTTTGAAACACAGGGAACTGCAGCGCTCAAGAATGTGTGAGTGAATGATCTGCAGCTCAGCGGGAATACTGAGGTCCAGTCCTAAGGAGAAACCATGAGGCAGTCTCATGAAAACATGAGACAGGCACATACCAGTGCCGTGAGTGTCAATGGGAGAGCGAAAATGCACTAGCTGGGGCCGGCCCCATGGCTGAGTGGTTAAGTTTGCATGCTGTGCCTCGGTGGCCCAGGGTTTTGCCAGTTCAAATCCTGGGTGCAGACATGGCACCACTCATCAAGCCATGCTGAGGTGGCATCCCACATGCCACAACTAGAAGGACCCACAACTAAAAATACACAACCATGTACCCGGGGGCTTTGGGAGAAAAAGGAAAAATAAAATCTTTAGGGGAAACAAATGCACTAACTGCAGTCAGGGGAGGCTACCTGGAAGAGGTGACCCACAAAGCATGACTAGGATTTAAACAAGGTGGCCTCCACAAAACGCATGGGATGGGAAGGAGTGTGTTGGGAAGGAGTGTGTCAGGAGGGAGACACCAGGCTTCTCATTCTGCCTGACCTCATTCCTATCTCCCAACTTTGCCTTTGTTCCAGGCACACCCACAGCCAGAGCCTTTGCTCCCTCGTAGCTCTCAGGGCTCAGAATGATTGCTGACCTCTGGGTGGAATCTTGGGACACTTTACTTTGTATCTAAGTGACACATACTTGTGAAAAACACATTTTTATCTAGCAAGGGCTGAATCAATGAAATGACATCAAACATCTAGCACAATACTATGTGGGTTTTCCAAGCAGTTATGTGATAGTTATTTCCTCTGATTTTCATATAATTTATATGCTAGAGAAGTCCCACGACCTGCAAGCATTTAGTACCTAGCAGGAGTTGAGGCTGGAACACCACCACCTCCACCATTTTTGAGAACAGGAGCACAACTGGGTAGTTGGTGCCTGGCACCTGGGAAAAGGATGTGGATGGTGAGCTGCAGGGCAGCGGCCCCACTGGCCCTTCACCCAGGACTCTGATCATCAGACACCCTGAGGAGCTCATTACAAATACAGGTTCCTGGTGCCCACCCGAGACCTACTGCGTCAAAGTCTCCAAGAGGAGGGGCTCAGGAATTGGTATTTTACGAGAGGCACGTGCGAGCCTTGTGTTGCAGCAGCTGGGAAGCCCTGGACGAGACGTGGCATGTTGCAAGGTCAGCAAGCCTGGGTTTGACTCCTAGACCCACCACTTCCAGGTTCTGTACCTGGGGCAAAGCCCTGCCCCGCTCTGAGCCTCAGTATCCCCATCTTCAAAATGAGGGTCTTTCTGGGTGCCTGCCTTCTCAGTCCCTGAGGGGGGCTACCCAGGATAGCAGACCCAGAGTGATGGACGTCCATTCTCCTTCACGTGCTGGGTGTGGAGGGGGCAATGGACCTCAGGGGCTGGGTCACTGAAGCTCTAAATGTCCCCCTTCTCTCTTGCTCCTGGGAAGAAGGGACCACATCATTCCCTCTAGATCCTGCTCACCATGGGCTGTGACCCTCCTCTGGAGGTGAGTCCAGCGCATGAGCTCTGAGCCCCCGCTGCTCAAGCTAACTGCTTTTCCTAGCAGCCACTTCACTGTCTGAGCCTCTGACCCCTGTCTGCACAGAGGGGACTCCATCATGGGAGATGAACGCATGCTCAATGTGAGGGGCACGTGGAGCAAGCCCAGCAGAAACGGGAACTCGATCATTGTTCTGTCACTGAGCAATGCCTATGGAGCGCCTGCTGCGAGCGGAAGCTCTCCTCGGTCCCTGCTCGCGCGGGATTGCGTTCCAGTGGGGGCAGGATGACCCATAACGAGCAGGATACATGTTTAATACTTAAATGGTAAAGACACTGCACACATTTGATGTTTAAACAATAAAGACAATAAATAGGTTTAATATTGAAATAGACAAATATAATTATTTAAATAGTAAACAACTGATGCTTACTATTTAAATCATAACTATGGTATGTCAGCATTCATTTGAACAGCAAAGACGGGAGTCAGAAGAGGCTGAGGTAGGGGAATGGAGAACTCTGGGCCTCAATCCAGAGAGGAAAAGAGCCTGCCGCTCTGACCCTCACTCCATGGCATTCAGTGGGCTAGGGGATTGTCAACTTGTCACACAGACTCCACTTTCACCCTCTGCAGGAAGCCTTCTTGGAACCTCAGACTGAAGGTTGACGACCTTCAGGCATGCTGAGGGTGTGCATCCAACACTGTGTGTCAGCTTTGCAATCGCTCCGTGAGGTTGCTTCTCGTGCCATTTACGGTGGAGCAAGTGGAAGCTCTTTGCACCCCACCCCTGCCACACCACTGGGAAGGACAGAGTCAGGATGCCAGCCTGGCATGCCCCCAAGAATGACAGCTCTTCCTTGTCTCACCTGCTTCCCACACTCCAGGTGGGCAGGGCTCCTTCTGAGCCTCCCTGGGTCCCCCATCCCTGGCCCCAGCCCAGAATGCTGCCCTCACAGGGGCAAATGGTCAGGGGCTTGCTGAGGGTCACACCACGAGCTGGTAGCTAGGGTGACCACTGTTTCGGTGTGCCCGGGACCATCCCAGTCTTGACACTGAGAGTCCTGCATCCGGGCAAACCTCTCAATCCTGGGCAGCCCAGGACACTCGGTCACCTACAAGCAGCCCAGGCACCTCCTGTCCTGCTCGCGTGGCCCCAGGCCTGAACTCAAGTTGTCTTTGATGAAAGGAAACGCTCAGCTCATGCGTCACATTTGAGGCAAAGTCCAGGCTGCTGCAAGTCCTCTAACGCAGGGCCCAGCTCTTGTGTGGGCGCTTGCAGACGCGGCAGTGGAGGCGGACCTCTCCCTGGAGGGTGAGAGGCCTTAAAGACAGACCCAGCCTCTGCCCCAGTAGCGCCACTTCTATGAGCTTTTCCTTAAGAAAAAACCCAGAGGGGCCGGCCACGGCCCCGTGGCCGAGTGGTTAAGTTTGCACGCTCTGCTTCGGCGGCCCAGGGTTTCACTGGTTCGGGTCCTGGGCGCGGACATGGCACCGCTTGTCAAGCCACGCTGAGGCAGTGTCCCACATGCCACAACTAGAAGGACCCACTACTAAAATATACAGCTGTGTATTGGGGGAATTTGGGGAGAAAAAGCGAAAAAAAAAGGTTGGCAACAGTTGTTAGCTCAGGTGCCAATCTTTAAAAAAAAAAAAAAAACTCAGAAATATTGGATGGTGATTTCTGAACAAAGGTATTCCCTGCAGAGCTGGTTATACAAAGACTTGAAGAAATTAAAGTAGAATATCATGCAGCTGTGAAGAAAAGATCATATTGTAGGAGATTTAATAACATGAAGGAAAAGCATTTAACTTCTCATTGGAAAATGGAGGGTACAGAAGAAAGCTGGAAAAAAAATGTATATATGCATAGGAAAAAAGACTGAAGAGATACTTCAGAATGTTAGCAGTGCTTCTCTTTGAGTTTAGGGTAATTTAAATCTTCTTTACATTTTCCTGAAATGCAAATTTAATTCAGTAAGTCTATGTTAATTTTATCACCAGAAATTCAGTAGTTTAAAAAGTGCATAAAATTGTACTGAGCTGTCCTGCTTCGGCCTGCCCTCCCTTCTCAGCTGGCACAAGTCTGTGGGGCTTTGCACAGAGGGGAGTTGAAGGAGCACTGGACGGGGAGTCAGAGGGAGCCTGCCACCCAGCTCTCGCTTACACTGCTTCTCTCCCTGGGATGCCCCGCTCCCTGCATGTGCAGCCCGGCTCAGATGTCACTTCCTGTGTCCCTTCCTCTGCTGTGGCACCCATCACCCACCACTCTGCATGGCCTGCCATTTATCTGTTTACATGCCTGTCTCTTCCTTCTCTGGGCCTCCGTTTCTCTTCCTGTAACAGGCCAGGTGACTTGGAGCTGCCTTCCCCTTCTCCTGGCACTGGCTGCAATGCCAGAGGAAACCACATGAGGGCGACAGGACCACACAGGTGACAGCCTGCCGCCCGTGAGCCCACTACTCGTCAGAATTGTCCCCTAAAGCCAGAGATGACACCAGTCACTGCAGGCCTGGGACAGTGCCACTCAGGAGAGAGCCAGTGAGGAAGAATCAGCCCATAAATTCTGTCCAGAAAGAATCCCCACCCCTACCCCAGTCTTCCCAGAGCTGCACTGGCCAAGGTGACCCCCAGCTGGCCACCCTCAAGCACCCGAGGCATGTGTAGACAGACTTGCTGTGTGGCTTTGAGCTAGCCCCTGTCCCTCTCTGGACCTCGGTTTCCGGCCCGTGCTACTGGGTCTCTGTGCAGAGAGGCAGTGGGCAGGCATCTGGCCACCCACGGCTTCCTGAGGACCCGGGTTGAGGAAGACACTTCCTGCACCCGGCTTTCCGCTCCAGGTCACCAGCTCATCCCAGGCTGTTTCATGTTCAGTGTTTGTTAGATGGAACTGAAACAGAAATAAAAGACTCCCCAGAACATAAAACAGGAATTTAGAGGTGACCACCAGAGACATTTTTTCCTTCCCCTTCAGGAAATTCCTGGCCGCAGAGCACTGGTCGCCCTTGGCCCCTGGTCCTGCTTGGGCCCAGGAACACGCCAGGGCTTTGCCCTCCTCGAACACAGGCATCCCAGGGCAGGCCCTGTGTGTGGGGGGTGAGGGGGCATGCTCTGAGGGGCATGGGAGTGGAGGTGTGGATGCCGGTCATTGGTCTCTGGGAGGGGACGGGAGAACCAGAGCCAGGTCCTGGGGGCACTGTGGGAGGAAGGGCCTGCTGGGAGACAGAGGGCGCATCCTTAGGAGGGAGGGGCAGGAGAGGCAGGGAGTTCCTCCAGGGTGAGCTGGGGCTTGGGGCCCACCCAGAGCAGGCTCCCTGCTGTGCTGGGGGACCCTGTGTGTCCTCAGGTGCTGATCTGTGTGTGAGGCGGGGGAGCACAGACCCTCCAGGCCCGCCCTGCCTCAGGCTGCATAATGACCTCCTCACGCTGACGGTGTGAGGGCCAAGGACAGAGACCGTGTTCCAGGGGTGCCCTGCCCGCCTCTCCTTAAGGATTCGCTGCTCCAGAAAACGGAGGCCAGCATCTCCCAAAGTCCTCAGAGAGACCAAGATTGCTTCCCGGCTCAAAGAGACGAACGCCCCTCCCGTTGCCCGGCTCTGTTCTCCTGCCACCACAGGATGGAGCCCGTGGAGGCTGTCGGCTTTGCCATCTCCTCCTGGGCAGGCTGCGCCACACCGGGCCTGTCCTCCTCTCCCTGATGACCTGTTCCCTCTGCCCAGAACACCCAGCCTTCCAGGCTCCCCACTCATCCTCCAGGCCCAACAGACAGATTCAAGTCTCCTCATCTGGGCTCCCTCAGCACCCCGGACTCCCTCGATTACTCACGGGCACTCGCCTGGTTGTTTCCCCACCACGGGAACCTTCCTGAGGGCAGGGGCTGGGCCCCACCAACCTCTGTGTCCACCGGCCCGAGGCCCAGTAGGCACTCAAATGTTTGCTGAACAAATTAATTAGTTTCCATTTAGCGAGCTCATTAGGGCTCCATCTTCCTCCTAATGGGAGGCAGGGAGGTCCCTTTTTTCCTGTAACAATCCCCCTTTGTGGGAAGATGGCAGAGCCATAGCCTCTGCAGGCAGGGGGCAAGCAAACTAAATTCCTAAACTCCTGCAGCACACGGTTGCATCTTTTTTTTTTTAAAGATTTTATTTTTTTCCTTTTTCTCCCTAAAGCCCCCGGGTGCATAGTTGTATATTCTTTGTTGTGGGTCCTACTTGTGGCATGTGGGACGCTGCCTCACCGTGGTTTGATGAGTGGTGTCGTGTCCGTGCCCAGGATTCGAACCAAGGAAACACTGGGCCGCCTGCAGCAGAGCGCGCGAACTTAACCACTCGGCCACGGGGCCAGCCCCCACGGTTGCATCTTAAAGAAATAAAACATGCATGTTCGGTGAGGTACACTTAAACAAGACACGTGTATATTATAAGCTTCACATTGAAGACATGTTATTACACAGTTTATCGCACAGAACTAGATCTTTACAGGATACTTTTTTAGCAGTAGGTGGCTGGGACGAGGCTCCTGGCAGTGACATGACAGCCCCGAGGAGCAGGGAGGAGAGGCTGGGGGCTGCTGTGCCCAGCGGGTGCTGGCGTGCAGGGCGCTCCTCCGTCTCAGGCTCTAGGCTGGGCCAGCTCCCTCTGGACAACTTGCCCCACTTGGTCTTTGCTGGTAACTGATTCTGGAAAGGTGAAGCGATGGACATGGCAGTTTGCTGGACGGCCGCCTGACCCAGCCAGGACCCTTCATAGGAAACCATGGCTGACTCCAAACGCCAGCCGCCCTGTCTGCCAGCTTTCTGCATGCACCGTCCCCAGAGTCTGTGAGAGCAAACGGTAAGCCTGGCCATCTGTCCCAGCTGGGCCCTTGGTCAAGTGACATTAACCACTTTGGAGAGAGTGAGCGTCTTGGAGAGCAGCCAGAGCTTGGTGTTCAAAATCCTCAAAGGGAATCTTGGGGTCCTGGGAGAGCAGTCGATGCAGAGCGTCTGCCAAGGGCTGCCCCTGGGACTGCGCGGCCCCTGCTGGGGGTGGGCTCGAGGTCCCTCTGCTCACGCGCCGCCCCAGGAGGGGGCGCAGCTGGGCTGGAACTGGCCCAGCCTTCCCGAGGAGCCAGCGCCTTCCACCGTGCCCGGCAAGGGCTGCTGTGCCCCTCTCCCCGCAGAGCCGCCTTTCTTTCTGTGGGCGCCCCTTGTTCGGGGCCTGCCTGAGAGGCCCTCGGCTCCCTGGCGCTCAAGGACAGAGCTGCTGAAGTGGTCAGAGCATTGTGGTCGATAATGAAGCCAAGAGAGGAGGGAAAGCAAGGAAGAAAACCACAGAAGCCCAACAGCCCTGTGGCTCTGAGCGACGGGGCCGGGGAGTGGCTGGAGGTTGTGTTCTGAGACAAAATGCTGAGGGCGGGACATTGTGTGGCAGGGAGCTTTTTTTCCCCTCAAAGAAATCCAGTTCATTTCTTTCCTCCATTAATTGGCAGCAGATAAAAAAAAAAAAAGCCAAAACAAAAACCAAACCAACGCCAGTAACCTGAATGTGAGCCTTTCTGAAAGGGAAAAGCTGTTCCAATTGTTAGATGTCCAAGAAAACATGAATACATGCCGACACAGGAAATGGTCACAATTAGAGGAAGACGAGGGAGAGGTTCATAAAATTAAGGAAAAAAATTCCTTTCAGCAGCTCCCATCCTGTAGGCTGGCTCCTCTGCCGGCCTCAGGCCCCAGGGCAGCTGGGGGCCGGGCCTCCCAGGGGAGCTTCGGGGAGACGCAGGAGGGCCCAGGCGTCCCCTCACAGAGCACAGGCCTCGGCTCCTCCTGGGACCACAGGCGCAGCCTTTTCTGAGGAGAGACCTGCTCGGAAGACTGTCTACTGAGGGGGGGTCCCGTCCTGCCCACCCTGCAGCCTCAGGAGGCGCCCCAGGGAGCAGGGCTCGATGGTGGGAGAGGGGCTGGTGCAGCCTCGCCCCCCCGCCTGCTCAGGGGGCTGTCCCCAGGTCCCCGCCTCTGACGGCGCCCTTGGGGTCCAGGCTCCTGAGGCACTTTTGTTTGGACAAGGGCCACCTCCTCACTCATTTTCTCATTCACCAAAAAAAAGACAGACAGAGGAAAGCCTGAGTCACTCCAGGTCCTCTCTTGCCTCAAAGGATGTTTTGGAAAACGCAAACAGGTGAAAGGTCAGGACTGAGTCTGGGGAGACTAGACCCTGGCCGCAGCCAGCGTGGTAACCGAGGATGATTGGCCTGGGACCCACAAAGGGGGTCCCTTTGTGGCCTGGACCGACAGACAAGGACCCGGCAGGACGACCCAAAGGGCAGACTGGGCAGAAAGACCAGTTGCCAAGGAAACGGCTTTGGCTACAATCGCTGAAATCCACGGTAGCCGCCGGAAGGGCCTGGCTCTCAGTCCCGCTCCGCTCCGCTCAGGCCAGACGGGCGGCGTGACAAGTCCTCCTC